CACCCTTATCAACTATCTGGGACAATAGTTAACGTAAAGGATGAAACTTAAACAAAGGATAGTTATAGAATTTTATATAAAAACGTTTATACTTAACTGCGGTTTTTTCTTATCTTAAGACAAGCACAAAAACTTCGTACTCTTTATAGAATTTTAAAGATACTATATTAAAATGAAAATAGGGTGAAAAATTAGGCAGTGTTAACTGGCCTTGCTGATTTTCTTATATTCAAGCTGTAGATTTGCGCTCCGATAGCATAGCTTTTAGACTTTCACAATTTCTTGTTAACAACATAGAGTTAAGCGTTATGACTCGATCAGTGGATTGTGTTTAGTTTCGTGAAAGCTTTGTTCAAAATAATACGTCACGCTATTGAGTTTATAAAATTACTGATAAATGTTTAAAACCTATATGTTTACTTGATAAGGTGAAGGTCGTGTGATTATATTTTTACCTTTTGAGTTCGCTTGTTATTAGCGTTTATTTATTTTTAGGTCATTATCATGAATGATATTATGAATTTAAAAAAATATGCGTCCATGTACCAGTAACATTAATGTTAAACTTAAATCGTAATGGCATTCATACTTCTAAATATAATAACATGTTAAATATTCAAGGTAAGTTTGCGATCGGTAACTTTTTTTCTCCCTACATGTTAGTATAGTTAATAGAACATATTTACGAGGTTCTTATTTCATGTTACATTTATATTAATATTAGACTTCGCCAGCGGCTTCGCCCGCGTGGACCCTAGGGAAATGTTTAGTGGGAAAAACAGTATCCTATTATTATCTAAGTCAGCTAATACCCTATCTGTATACCAAATTTCATCAAAATCCTTTCAGTAGTTACGGCATGATTGACGGACAAACATCTAAATATCCAAACAAAGAAACTTTCACATTTATAATATTAATAGTATTTTTAATAGTATTTTCTTTTTTATTTTAAAAGCAGTATGTTAACTGCTCTGTCAGAAATTGATCATCATCCTCCAGGTACAGTAGGGAAATCATAAGTGGCGAAGTGTTTATTAGACTTCTTTTTACTTTATCTCTGACATTAGTAATGTAAAAAAATATGATCATGATTTACATTAATAACATGATATTAGAATTTGTGCACAGGTACCAATTTTTTCATGCATGTAAATAAATGATCTTGACCGCAATATCTATCTTCACGCCAGATCACTTGCGGAGTAGGCATAGAGTACCGATCTATACAACATGCACGGTATTTATTACACATCGACGCTGGAAAGCAAACACGTAGTAACCTGCAAAACCAAAATGGTTATTTAAAGTGAAAAATCTTTATATTTTGGCAAAAAAATATCTTATTTCCCAATAAATTGACTAAGGAACACCTTATTTGTTACCATGGACGTTTATAGGAATTATTTATCGTAAAAGTTTTTCTGCTCTGAAGAACAATTTTGGTTTTGCGGGTTACTACGTGTTTGCTTTCTAGCGTCGATATGTCCTTCACCTCCGTGGCATTAAGAACTCATTTCATGTCCCTAGTTTTCATAACATCAAAATCATTTATTCAGTCTAGGCTGGTACAGGCATTTGTGAAAGTCGAAATTGTATAGCCATCGGCTTGTAAATCTACAGCGTGTGACCTTGTATCGAGAAGGAACTCAGCAAGGGGTTGCTTTTCATCTTAACATCACCTGTTGATAGCATGTGATCAATTTCATCGCGTAAGATGTGATTTGACCTCCCCGGCTTCTACATCCTTCGACTTTTACAATCGCAACATACTTGATAATCTAAGCGATTCAATTATCTGAGCAAAGCCAAACTAATTGTTAGGAAATATTGGTCTGAGCATACGTTAATGGAGAAGAATTGTTATTTACATCAAATATTGATTTTGTCGTAGAAGGTCTATGTATAAATAGTTTGTAGCATAAATGTTTGTTGTTAGTTATCAAACATTACAGACCTAATTTATTCTATAATATTCAACATACAGTGATTCACGAAATTAGACCTACTGGTCTAGATGATTGTATTTAATATTTACAAACGTTCGTCATTACCTATAATTAATTAAAGCTTTGTAACCATTAAATTATGTAATAAAAGGATATTTTTATGCAGAGTAAAAAGTGGAAAGTTTATTTCAAGTGATTATTTATAGTTAATGTAGATAGAATATATATATCTCATATCTATTTAATTTTTAGGTTGAACAGAATTTTTGATGTAACAGTCTTAACTGAAAATCATTAATTATTGAAATTAATGTTACCAAATTTTTAAAGCTTACTATTATTTTTACTATAGTTAAATTAATAAATCGTTTTATATTTCAACCAGGATTATGTAAAATTTTGTGTTTTGTGTAATAGGGATGACGAGTTATTTTTGTTTGTTTGTCCGTCAGGTAGATTGTTAAAAAATATTAAACATGTATTTTTTAATTTCGTAATCATTAAATAACAGCGATACATTGAGTCAAAATGTCACATGACGTCACGCTTTTTTACGTTTTCTACAAAACTGTGACGAGGCGAGATTTAATGACTGTTATCTAAACTTGCTTGTTAAATTGAAGTAAAAAAATACGTATCTAATATTTTTCTATTTTTTGACGAACGGACTAAATAGAATTTCTTTTTTTTTTACCCAGTCGTCATCCCTATACAATGTTTTATGACAACACTGTAAATGTGACTATAGTTATTAAGCTTATCAGACGTCGCCGTTTTTAGGTAATCGATAATTACCTATGAGATGATTGCGAATTCCAATTTGTCTGGCATGTATTAATTATTACAAATTAATTAATACTGGACTAAAAGTGGTTCGATTCTGTTTTGTTTGTGGAGTCTACAAAAAGCACTGCACATATTGTTATCTTATCTGCTAAGTAAGGTACCAAGTTAAGCATCACGTATAATAAGTGAACTCGATATGATACATTCATTATACTACAATATGTTGGCTTCAGGTACACAGCGCACGTCTCTTCCAGCAGTGCTCGGCTCTGGTGTCTACAGCACATTTTCAACCTCCATTTGCATTGACGAGGTAAGTTTCAATATCGGTTAATCTAATTTAATTGTGAGTTACTCAAGTTTCTTTGATAAATAATATTATTGTAAATGATTTAGGTCTGGATAGGTAATTTTTTTGTTAGTGATGTTATGAGTGAGTAACATTAATCGTAAATCCTCAATGACAGTGCTGAAAAAAATGTGTTATAATCAGATATGTTTTTTGGAAAGGCGATTATGCTCATGATATGTTGTTGTCTTTGGTAACGCTTGATTTGCTTAATTCATAAATCGGACATCAAAATATTAATATCGTATACGGTTTAAAAACTCTTGTTTATTTTACTTTAGTTTCTTTTATATTTATTGCTACGTTTATATAAACTATGTGAACGTACAACAATGAAATTCACATTATTTATATAATTAATGTGGTTTTCGTTGTTGTTGCTATAATTTCTTTTTAAGGATAAGTATATTGATTTCACATTTTTGATGTATTGATTTTGAAGGATAAACATATTTTCACGCGTACTAAACAACTTTTATTTCATTAAGTGTGTATTTTTCCTATATTTACGTTTCGGACCCTTTACAGGTTCAGTGTTCACATAAGACTAGGCGTTTAAAAGTTGTTTCATTTAAGGATAAATATCTTGAGAATGTAGATCCAGATTGCTAGTTTTGTTGATGTTAAAATGTGTTGATGATATTTTTATATTAATTTTTTACCTGAAAACTGTGCATGAGCTTCAGATTTAGAAGGAAACATGTTCACTTTTCCAGGTTTTTTTTCTATCAATACGATTTTTTTTATCAGATATTTATCGGAACATCCATAAAGCATTCCCGCTCAAACATACATACTCAAAAACCTATGTATCACTTGGACATCATCAATATTCTAACATTTTTTTAGTTTGGATTAGGGAAAGGCCTTTGATTCTGTCTTCAAAGGCATATACGATATTGAATGAACAGATTTTCAATGATTTTTGAAATAAAATATCTTGTTTTCCAAATACTTTTGGATATAACATTGAAACCATGAGGTAACAACAGCCCTACCAAAAATCAACGAAAATATCCATGTCAATTGATCGTGATTTTCTAGAAGTCCATTATTATGAAACATTTCTTTGTTATATGTTGTATTGTTATGTGGGCTATATAAATAGTCACGTTCCAAGTTTGGCGTCACCAAAAGTAATCAATTATATTTAGTAATAAGTAGTAGTGATATTATAATAGCAGACAGACTGGAACATAAGAAATTCCTTAAAATGAGGTAGCTTCTTCAGTGATCCTTTGTGTTTTTTATATATTTAATATTTATTGTTTATTTATCAATACAGTACTTGACGATTTTTCTTAAAGGTATATATAATTTATCACTTAAAAATCTGATATACACTAAAGCTTAGTATCATGTTGAAAAAAATTATCATATAAATTCGTGTCGTGCTCGTGTGACTAATACATTTGTTTTTTAATGTATGAGCAACATAGATGCTTTTTTGTCAAACAACAGCTGTTATTTCTCGTCTGTTATATATTTCGATTGGAATCGTTGATTTTCCGTGCCCACGTTAATGAGTAGTTGTTTTGAATACATCTTCTTTATGTCGTATTTAAGTTCAACTGCGTAATTTTCTTTGAATTTATGAAATTCATCATTGTTTGAGTGTTCAAATTATTATCAAATATATTTCATGTTGTTTGTTGAGGCATTTTATTTGCAGTATTTTATCATTGGACTCGTTTTTTGTCAGATTGAGTTCATTCACTGGTAGTGGTCGAACAGGTACAATCATTGCCTATAGACGGAGCTCCTGTGGCGAGACAATGGTGTCCTGTCCCTCAGAGCCCAGTCGTGGAGCGCAGGCTCCATATCCGCGACTGTGTGCACCCGCTATCGGCACACCACACAATGAACCGCTGCGCAACATTGATTCGTGGTTCGTGCGCGGCGCGATCGTCTCAGTCAGTCACCAGTGCGCAACGCCAGGGGGAACAAGTGTCTCGCGCTTTCGAGCGCTACTTTTATTTTTGTGTTAATTTTTTTTTGTGTATGTCCAGCCATAAAAAAGGAATCAGTTTTAGAACGCTCTATGTACATCTATTGAATTTTCATTGATATAGAGACGTCATACAATCGTTTGGCTGGCCACTTTGGTTCCTGTGTGTTGAGTAATATTCTGTGCCAGTTGAAGTGTTTGTGCTTGTGATAGAAACGGACGATTTCATCGCGAACGTGTTCCAATTTGGGATTTCACCACGAGCGGGCTCAAGGAAGTTTATAGTCAAGTTAGTTAATATTTGTATTGTGTATTTTGGAATTTGTTTTATTTTTTTATGTAGGATGATTATTATTTTAAATAGTTTCGTTGCTCTTATTTTTTTTTACTTTAAAAATAAAATTATTTTGTGTTTTATAAGATTCTTCTTTCTCGTGATTTTTATTTTTGATGTATTGTAGCGATCAGCTGTTCATTTAGTTTTCGTAGCGACTCACTGCGTAGACAGCTTTACTCGTACTGGATACAACTTCGCGTTAATCGTTGATGTCGTACGATTGTTAGGAGAGAAGATGGTGACGTTCGTCCGTACCACGTCACACGCTGTAACCACTCTAGAACCGCTGTTATCTCGTATCGACCTCGACTCTACCAGTACATTATCAGCTGAATGAATCAATCGACTAATATTTATGGTCGTCGCTCCTTAAAGTATCCATATCACAATCTCCTTATTTAAATTTAACATAGGCACATATTTTTTTACGTTTCGTCTTATATAATTCATTTCTATAGATTCTTCAATACGGATATGCTAATGAAATGATCCATTAGCATTTATATAATAAAATGGTTTTGAATTGTTCGTGCGTTTATTAATAAAGTTCCTTATATTTTTTTCCGTTTTGTGACGACATTCCCTTTGTATCCGGTATTCAATTTTAAGATTACTTGTTCATGAGAGTCACATTAGTTTCCCTCCAATTGTCTGAATTATGTAAAACAAATGTGTAAGCAAGAATAACCTTTTCGAATACAAACAGACACCTTGGATCAGGTTCAGAAGGCCATTGTGAAACCGACACATTCATTCCTAGAGTTTATTGTTAAGCTGCATAATGATTGATAAGGGTTAGATATTGTTATAAATATTGTCATATACAAATTATAAACGATAATATATATTATATAATTATAGACTATCTACAGACATTAACATATATGAGATTGACCTAAATTAAACGTTACTATTAGATATACGTGTGTAAATCGTCGGCTGATGTAATATGTCTTTTTCAAAAATAAGAACAATCAGTTTGGTCCTCTACCAAAGAAATCCAAGATGGGGTCTATATCTTCCTAAATCAGAATTTATCTTCCTAAATCAGAGTCTGTAGTTAGAAACTATTATTACTAATCATAGGGTATGTAATAATTGTTATATTTAACATGTTTTAAAGAAATTCATCGTGATTGTTTTTTATGGCTTTACATTGTACTGTAATTCAGTGTTTATATTAATTTTTGTACTCCGAAAATATGTTTTGGGCAATGTTATACAGTTTAGTGACTTAGCAACATCACAAAATTGATGAATGATACTGTTGAAGGTCACTATTATTAGAATTACTTGTTCCATGAAAGTGGAACAAAATCTATAGAGTTGAACGTCTGTAATCAATTAATAAGTAAGAGCTTAAATATTTCTCTGATTTATTCGAGTTCCTCTTTGCATTTGAAATGGTGTCATAGAATATCAGGCATTTTTACAAATAAGAATGGTTATTTGCCTAACACGTTTTCTCGATTTGCATAGTTCTATTTAGTTTGAATTCGTTTGTTGACAGCTGAATTAATATTCAAGTCACTCGTCGGTCGGGTACATTTCCTGTTGTACGGGTACAACGTTAGGTCGTTTCGCTGCATTGAACATGCAGACCACTACGGTTCGACGGATCCGCGTGGCATTGATATATATGATTTAGTAAACTGATGAAAGTGTAAGGTCAGGTGCACATTAACACAAAGTTTATTGTATTACGCTTATGCATAGTGACAGTGGAGCACGCAGTGAAAGTAACGCAGCGCACCAGGCACGACAGGTCTGCGGCTGTGCAGTACATTTGTGTCGTAAGTCTTGACTTCTAGAAAGCTCAACAGAATTTCTGTTATTATCGTGTTTTTATTGCATTTTATCTTTGTTTTTTTTATAATTTTATTATAATACATGTGTTTGATACTGGAATGTTACAATTTCGTTATTTTTTATACTATTCAGTTTGGGACTCTCCATCCGCAAGGACCTTCCCATAGGTAGGGCTGCTTACTTAAATCATTCAATTTATTGGGCGCCTTCAAGAATTAAGAATTTATTTATTTCATTTCGGCATTGAAAGTATAGTATTTCTGCGTACTATATATTTCTCCATATAGTAGGTAGGCCCAAAATACAGTACAATACTAATATGGTACGGTTGGCCACCTTACCCATAGGGCCAGTTAAAGGGTGGATGGCATACTCACTGAAACCTCAGTGAAGTATTGTTGTCTCTGTAGTGTTGTGCCACAGTGATTTCTTGTCTGTAAGTCTGATGAAATTAAAAAATGAATGAAACTTGTCTTATTGTCTTTTAATTAGTTTCCTTTATTTGGAACATCGTAAGTTGTACTCGCTTTCGATGGCGTGATCTAAAACGGTCTACTCGTGGTTTTTCACGTGATTGTGCCATTTTATATGTCGCAAATAGGTTTTGAAGTAGTGCTTCTGTTATATCGTAACATCTGTAATAATTGTGTGAGTATGAAGATCGTCATCGCGCGTGTCTCAGCGTAGGTATTGGCAAAAATATGCCGAATGTCAACATTTCATAATTATGTTTTCAACAGTACCTTCATATGTTATATGTTGATGACCTTCATCCAATTGTTGATGTATCAGAATAAAATTCTTTAATTAAATCTTACTTTAAACAAAAAGGTATATTTATAAAAATACTTCAATTGTATTTGTATCTTATTAAACCTCTCTTAGTTTTTGAATTCTTTGTATTGTATATTTTACTCAGCTCAAACGTATACCTAAGATAAATAAATAGATCGTTAGATATGACATCTAACAAATTAAATCCAACTTTTTAAAACACGATAGAAAACCAGTATACGTGAATGAAAATGATGAGTCAGTTATTTGGCTAGCAGGGTTTCATTCATATAGAAACGAATAAACAAGTTGACTCTTATAATGTCTTGATGAAAGATTTTTTAAATATAGCAATGGCTTTTATGTATTTACTCTAAAAATACGTTGCACGTTTTACAATGATAAATATAGAAGGAATTTATTCTTGCACTTTTCTTTAAGTCGCAGAAAACAAATGATTCATTAATTATTTCGTAATAATTTTGGTCCATTTTGTAGTAAGTGTTGAAACAAAACCCGTGATCCATTCGTAGAATTCCGATCAGTGACTATGATACAATGGAATAATATGTGTCAATGCTCCTTGACTATGCTGACGCCTGCTATCTTGATATTACGTAGGAGCTTAATATACTTGAGCGTCTTCGAAATTTCTGTATTAGGTTCATATTTGGTCTTCGCAAATATGACGTCTCTCAGTATCGCACTCAGCTCTCTCTCTCAGTGGCTTCCTATTTGTCTTCGCCGGAATGATTATATCCTCTTTCTTCTCTACAATATATTCTTAAATCCTACTTACCCTTGCTACCTCAACGCTTCAGTTTTTTTCGCAATGCTAACTCGTACACATTACGATCATCAGAAAATCTTTTGCTGGAAACAACATCACACGTCACCAAATTTTATGATGCTTCTTTTACTGTTCGAGCTATACTACTATGGAACCCTGTTCCAGTAAATATTAGATTATCACAGACACGACTCATTTCAGAAGGGTGTTAAAGAATTCTATTTTAATTCAGTGGTATTATAGATGTATTTATTTGTTTATTAGTATTCATCGAGTTAAATGTATATGTGTATTTAGTTTTATGTATATGTTTTACTGGTACTTGTAATTATTAATTTTTATATTACTCATCCACTATTTACTATATAATTAGACAGAAGCTAAATATCAGTTCTATTATTGTTGTTTTGTTTTCTATGTATTTTTGTATATTATCAAATAATTATTTAATGACATAAAATGAATGAGCATTATGTTAGTTTCAGCACAGGTTAGATGCGGCTCAAATGATTTTGTTAGCCAGCAAACAAAGGAGTTTCGATTAACTGTTCTTATGCATCTTCATTGAGGGAAAAATTTTGTATTTCAAACACTGTCTAATTGAATCAAAATGATGACATCTATCGTGATACTTAGTGTAAAAAGAATTTTGAATAGTAGACAGTCCCAACATTACTACTATTTCATAATATTTATTGCTGAATTTTCTTACTAGTGATTTTGTGTAGGCGCCGACGACGTGACATATTATTGCGACGAATAAGCACGTGTTTCGTTTCGCCTCTTCCGACCTACTGACCTGACAATAACCCATATTCCTCGTTCTCAGGCACCCCTGCACAAATACGGCGGTTTAATAATTGCATTGTCTTATCCTTCATCATGAAGATTATATTGTAAATTAAATTGTGAATAAATTTATTAACACGCAATTTCTCTTTTTAATACGTAGGTACCGTTTTCAAATTAGTAAACAACGAATTCACTGACTCGATGTCGATGTCATTCACCGAAATCTTATAAATAACATAACGTAATTTTGTGGCTTTGCTGTTGTGAATTCTTCTCGGCTTTTCATTTAATGGTACTATTACGACTTTGGACGATGCAAAAGTGCTTCCATTAATCTTATTTAAATAAAAAAAAATACATGATTACGATACGATTCCATTTTTCCTTTATAATTAAAATTAAAAGAGAATCTTTGAACGCCGTAACATTTTAGACGTACAGTTAGTCTCTTTCTTTTTTTGGAAACCTTTTTGGTTGAAGTCCAAAAATATAAAGCGAAAACTTACTCAATAAGAATAAAAGCTTTTGTTTTGTACAGGATTCTGATATACTTTTTGGTTAGTTAGTGCAGCTTTTCGATTGTTTTTACCTCGTATTCCACTTGCCAATCTTGTAATACTAATTCTAAATCTGCTATAACCTTTTTAAGATTAAGCTAAACACAATTTTAAATTTATTCTTTTCTGGAAGTACAGTACTTTGTTTATCGTTTGGTTCACGTTATCTTATTAATAAAAAATCCAGAGGACGAAAACCCACTCCGGTTTTCGTTCTCTGGAAACTGGAATAATCTGGCTGTTGCAAGTTGACCATTTGTAAACTTAGCGATTACAAATGTGTGTAATTTTTTTCTTGGTGATTATTAATTCGCAGAAATATTAATGGTTCATCTTATCACTCAGAATGTAATATTTCATCAGCCACGTTATCAGGAGTTTGGAAGTGTTTTCAATGGTTCAAATAATTATAAAAAAATTATAACTATGTGAATTTTAATGAAAATCGTGTTTGCGTCGAAAACTGGCGCGCATATACAACGACTATATTTGCAGCAACTTCGATAGCTATTTATACAAATTCGACTTTACTCCCTCGGCATAGTTTACTATTATACTGTTTTGATTTTACGCTTATTTTCGTCGTACTATTTTTGTGGTTCACTGTTTTGACGTATGGCCGCCTGTGAGTTGTGCAGTATGGTACGCTCACATGGTAAGCAGTCGACTGGGGCGGGGCATGTGCGTCACGTAAATACCCCTGGGAGTTGGTTCGCGAGAGAGCTTCTAATTTGGTGACGCCGCTGGCACTCGACGGCAAACGTCCGTAGTTCGACGCAACAGTATATAAGTTCTAGTTCGAGGTGGGATTTTCACCAACAAATGATGCGTGTCGATTATATAAAAAAAAAAACACAATGGTTAAGCATGTGTTTATTGACCATGAATAATGTCAAAACATATTTTGATTTCTTATGTTGATGCGTTGTTTCATTTTCTTCTACTATTTTCTTCGTAACACAAAGCTATATTTTACTTCCTACATCAACTTTTTGTGCATTTTGCATCATATTTTGTCAATATTTATTTGCTGTAGTTGTATACCTGATTTTTCTTTGGTAGTGTCAATATGTGTTTGGAATGATTAGGAGATAGTGATATAAAAATTGCCTTTTCTGGATTGCTTTTGAGCGTAGCGGTCGTGGTTCGTGCCCTTGTCTTGCAAGCGTGATAGCCACAGGCTAAAAACAAAAACAAAATCGAGTTGCCCGGGCGGTTGTCCGCCAACCAGTAAGCCAATTGCGGCCCGCTCACCGCTCCGGTTCTCTGACCCGAGTCTACATCGACTATAACTAGTTTCGATTAAAGCAACTAAACAGAAATCACTGTATCATTCACGGCTTGCTTGCGCTGTTGAAGGTCAGATTCATCTTTATTTATTTTTCATTCACCTAGTGTTCGGTTTTTATGTTAATTGCTAGTGGTTAATATAATGTTTGATTGTTTCTCTGTAACTGTTTTAAATCTTGCATCAGTCATTTAGGTATCAGCTAGGGTTGCCAATTGGGAAAATTTAATAAAATCGGGATTACTCGCAACAAAAATTAATACATTCGCCTCGGAAAAATATTGATGATTAACAAACAAAGATAATGGAATTATTTATAGGTTGTTTCAGCGATTACCGAGCGGTTGATTTAAAGAATTTTTCAATTATTTAACATTTGATGTGACATTTTTTTTTCGGGACTCTTGACATCCCTGAAATGTCGGGACAATACAGACCCATTCGGCAACCCTAGTTGCCACGCATCGTTCACGTATAGGCGTTTCGTAAATGCAATTACGCATTTGTTTATTATTCTTATAATAATTGTGACCTTATGATAATTAATAATATGTATTTGGAATCACTAGCCTTTGTACTTTTATTAACTTATCAATCATGTAGGTATGTTTTTCAATATAAATTAGATAGTGGTCCAATTAAAATGAAATATGATGTAATTTATTTTATTATAATTTATAGGTAATAAGTTAAAGATAATTAACATAACTCTAACACTATTTTAAAAACAGATGTTGAATTTGCTTCTTCGATCAATAATTGTTGATGAAATGTTATGTTATCTTTTATATATATTCTTTTGCGATTATTTTGGATTTGCGTAACTTACTTAAGTGACAAAATCCATAGTTATTTATTCCTTTTTGTACAGAAAAATATAGTAAACGTGTACCTAAAAACTAAAAAAAAAAAATATTATATAGAACGAACTTTTCGCCAGCGGCTTTGCCCGCGAAGTTTTGTATTATACATATAAACCTTCTTGAATTACTGTTATTTAATGAAAACTGAATTGAAATCCGTTGTCTCAGCGTACAGGCAGCGGGAAGCGACTTTATTTTATAATAAATATAGATTATTTTCACTTATTAGTATTGTTATTTGTTGTAGAATTCAAACTTGGTTCTTTTGGTGGAATTTCATTTCACCTTATTACGTTTTAAATCCTATTATAAACTAATTGGATTCCAAGGGCTAAGTAAAAATGTTTATCAAAGTTAAAACGAATATAGGTATAGTACCTCAGTTAATATAGTTAATATATTCTAAATATGCTATTGAGTAAATATTATTTTGTTATTTTATGCACAACCTACCCAAAAAAAGAAGCGTAGTAAGTTTATTAAAAGATAATATTAAGTATCAATCTCGTAGATAATCTTATCTCGTACTCCTAAGACTGAATTTATATATTTTTTTTGTGAATAAAATTAACCAAATACAATATAGTATAATTAAAAGATATTTTAAATTACAATATCCTTTAGTGTTTTTCAAACTTTTTGAATACACGACCCTTTGAGGTTGTAAATTTTTGATGACCTTCCCCCTTTGGGCCCAAAAAGACAACAAACTTGTTAATATAATAAAAAAAACTGATATAAACTTGATATTTTTTGAAAAATAAAAAAGTCACATCTTTCTCACAAAATATTGTTTAGCTGCCATGTAGAGTAGTAGAACTTTCTTATGCCGGTAATTCCCAGATTAAAGTTCCATGACCCAGGATAGAAAAACACGTATAAATGATTACCCCAGCGCATATTAAACAATTTTTTATTAATTTGTTGCAGGTGGACAGCGGCGGCGGTGGCTTGGCCGAAGTAATGGTGTACTCCCTCGGCTGGGGTATGGGCGAGCCGGAGCGGCGTGGCGCGGACCGTAAACGCGCGCAGCCGCCCCCGGCACCACACTCGCCGCTGTCACCAGACGACGGTCACGAGGTCGACGTTCTGCCGTTACACGATCAGGTGAGTGTTCACTATGTTCGTCTTCTTTGCCGATCACGACGAGCCGCGGAGCGATTCTGTAGAAATTCCGAACCCGAATTCACTTTATTCACTCAGGTATCTGCCCTGCGCTTCTGTAAAAAATATGTGTCCGAATGAAAAGCGGCATCCGCTCAATCTTGAATTGGCAATAACGTTTCGTGGCATAAGTGAAGTGAGTTTCGAAATGACAAACGAATAGAATATTTGATCAATCAATCTTGTTTTTTATTTTTATACAAAAATGAAACTAATAGAATTCACTTTATTTGGTGTAGCTAAATGATGTGAATTCGGGTTCGGTTTTTTACAATATAGCTCCCCTGGGTATAGCTGATAATCAGTGTCTATTCCTGTAGGGACTATCCAACGATGAGCTGTATACCTCTTGGGCTACTGCTTCACACTTAGGTGTGGGTGTGCAAATATTTCTGTTGCTATTGGTTTTTCTATATACCATTTGAGCATTTTACATTAACTTGTAGTGTACTGGTAGTAGTCAAATAAAAGAATCAATGGTAGTTAACCATAAATATCTATGGTAACCAGCTGAAATATCTATGGTCGAGCACCATAACTAGTAGAACCGATGGCTTTAGGGGGATGGAGGTCTCCAACCGGACCGACTATCTGATAAAAGTTGCTGGAAGAACAACTGTTCAGAAACTAGCAGAAGAATATACGTCGCTCAATACCTAACAGGATCGGGTGAATGTTTGTAATGTAATCAATGGGTGCAGAATAAAGAAAGAGTGATTGCTCTTGCACACTTATTCTCTTCACATCGTACTCACTCATTGGTGGTAGCGTAGTCTAGTGGCTGCAAATGAGGAGTTAAAGAGTATCAGTTATCAGTAGGGTTCCCAACCCTCCCAGGTTGCCCGAGAGACTCCGGTAATAATGATTAGATTAACTTTTCCGTTTCGGAGAGCAACACCGCGCGCCGCTTATTATAATTTGGTGGTGAAAAACCAAACCCAAATATAAATTTAAAAATTAATTAATCATTTTCTCTCAATTTCCGCCTCCAATTATTTCTTAAACATACAATTCTCCCCAAATTACATCGCAAATGAAACCATAACCGTTTTTTTTGGAATACAAAAACAGGACCAGGGCATTTTATGATATATTCCATGAGGTTGTGGAGAACTAAAGAAATTGTTTAACTCTTGCTTGGTAATAGCCACCCTCACATAGCATCCATTGACCAATTGTAGGTAATTTACTGAGTTGGACTAGGATTCATCAGACATGTCGCCATACGCTTATCAGATAACCGCAGAGCAATGTTTTGATAATGAAGAGCGACTGAGAGAGCTTTTACTCAACTTAATTTTGAAGAAGGGATAATATTTTTACCGGACCAATGGCGAAGATCGCGGACAATTTCAAACGTTTACATCCTGAAAATGTTTCTTTTTTTTTAATGAACATTGTAATATTATTGTGTTGCAACTAAATATATATCATTTTTAGTACCGGTTTGGCCAAAACAAACGACCGTGTAATATGTTTGAATGTTGTTAAGAAGAAAAAACTTTAAAGCGTCTGGTTAAAAACGGTAACTTACGTCATGGCACACCAGCAACTAAATAGATGGAATAGCTATCTGCGTATACAGTCAAAATTAGTTTTTACCTACAAATTTTCTAAGAAGAAGACGTTTTAATCCATATTCAAACAGTGTTATAAACAAGGTTTAGTAAAATAAGAGTGTACTTGGTGTTCATAAAAATTTATGGTATTAATAAATGGTATACGCCTGTAACGTTTACTCCTATAAAGTTTGCTTAGTCTTTGTATAATAATATGAATTTTGACTAATGCAAAGTCCAATCTTAGTATTTTAATCCAACGTTAAGTCTATTGACAACACTGAAAAAGTTAAGAGAAGTCTTTAAGCAAAGCTTATTTATTTACTTTTAGATGAACACTCCAGTTTTGTTTCTAGTTGCTTCCAAATCGGGACGGCAACGTGTTATGCGAGATGACGTAACCCATTTAACCTTTGGTGTACCGATACAAAGCTGTCGTTGTGAGTTTCAGATGTGACGACTGTCTGTGCGACAATGCAATGCGTTGATGTTTGACACACGCAGGATTTGTTGCCAAGACGACACGGCAGATGGTGCCATTAATAAGCTTTCAAACAATGCCTAATGTGATCGTGGTCTGCATGACTAACGGATCGTGCCGGAATGAAATCTGCGCAGCAGGTGTTTGTCTGTTACTGCCCTCGTACCATTAAGTGTGCTCATAAAGCTGCGAGATTTACCAATTAGACACGCAGGGATGGACGATGGCGTATTACTCGGAAAAGAGCTCAAATACGAAAACTATTAAAAATAAATTAATGTATCAGGGCTTTGTGGCAATACTGAGGGAGTAATATATGTATAACTATTAAAAGAATATAATTACTAGATTTAATTAAATAGAGTAGAGCTTCCAGGGCAATTTTTTTTTGAAAAATGGTTAATTCGCGTCTTATCACAATTCAAATTCTTTACTTAGAAATATATTAACTACTAGCTGACCCGGTGAACTTCGTATCGCTTACTTCCTAATAAAAACCATATTAATATTGAAAAATATTGCGTAAACTGACCAATACACGACCATAAATATTGATCGTCAACTGAACGTTTGACAGCTAAGAACATTTTGTATGGGAAAATCAAATTGTCGTTTTTAGTATATATTTATTTATATACCTTCCCAGGACTTCCACGAATATTTCAAGACTAAAATTTATCAAATCGGTTCAGCTGTTCTCGAGTTTTAGCGAGACTAACGAACGGAAATTCATTTTTATTTATATATAGATAGATTTACACTTTTTACAGTTATTTAATTATGCTTTAGGTGACGTGTAAACGTTAATTGCGTTCGAATTAGCAGCCGGTTATACCGGAAAACTGAAGTTCTATTTGCTTGCTGTTTTGGAATGAAGTCAACTTTTCAGTGTTTCTTGATATTAATAGATACAGCTGAGCCAATTATAGTAAGTTATATCTTGATTCAGATTTCAAATAATAGCATTGTTAACAAATTTAGTTTTCGAGGCCCGATTCGTTTGCCCTTGTTCAAGTCAGGCGTTGTGTTCGGGTGGAATGAGGGGTCGCTGCGGTCAGTCAGGTGTTGTTCGGTCACATTACAGCTGTAGGGTCATTGGCATTCCCATTTCTCGACTCTTTTTCTGTTTTAAGTTTGCAACAACCCGAGTTGTGTGAATGTTTTGACGTATCAATATTATTATTCACTTTGCGTCTGTGGTCACATTCTCTTAAATGCATTGTGACGTTACTTATCTTTGTTTAACTTCAAAAGGTTACATACTCTGTGAAGTAATGAAATACATATTTTATTTGTGCTTGAAAATTACGTTTATTTATTCAGCGTGTACAGTATAAGTACGCAATAAACTACGGATTAATATCTATTGACTTCCCATTATTATTTTCCGTTAGTTTTGATGTTTAAACAGTTGTATTTAAACCTAATTTTCACCTTTACAATTTTATGTATAGATCATCTGTATTTATTATGCGGATAACATATTCGTTATTAATTATTAAGACAAGTCTTAATGTAATCTTTTTTTTTTTAAATATTTTAATTAATACGCTACACACATTAATTGACTGGCAATATATGTTTGGAGACGTGTCATGTTTTAATTAATGTGTTATTTGTTATCTTTGTGTACGTTGTGAGTGACATCTGTGTTGTGTCTGTTGATAGGTTGGCGGCCACACAAGGCTGCTTGTACTCAATGACAGTACGGTCATCAAGCCGCTCAACATACGAGAGTTGCATTTTTACCAGAACATTCCTGAGGATATCCAAAGCTTCGTGCCCCGATATAAAGGTGAGAATCGTTAATATTTACATGATAGATTTGATTATGCCCGGTACGCTTTATCGAATCGCTGTATGTCATCATAATCATTCATAGCATCTCACTATTTATTTTGTCTTTTCTTTTTTTTTTTAATAATCGCGTTGTGATGTTTTTTTCTTAGAACAATGTGTTGTGTGATATTGCATACTCGAGCACTAAGGAATATATATTTTTGTTTATAAATAAACCTTTTTGTTTTGTGGTAAGAGGAAGATCGGATGTTAATCCTTATCTAAATTATGTATAATTACGTAGATGATACATTTCATATGGTATTTTTGTGTCAATATGATTATCTACTTTTAATAAGACTTGCGTCAGTTGCTGTTGATAATGTTGTTGTTATTATAAATTTTGTAATCTTATCATAGAGCCTTTTTAGTTGTGTGCTCGATGATGTTATGCGATTATAACTAATACGTGTATATACGGTGAACTCAGTTTTCCTTGATGCTCATAAGGAATTAGTGATGTTATCATCGTTTTTACATTTATGTATGTGAGTTGAGGGACGTATGCCTATTTGTACATACAAACCCGCCGACCGAAGACTAGTTACTACTTAAAATTGGTAATTGTGAAATTTTAAAATTATAATTTTATCTTATTCGATGGCCGATAAGAGGAACACGTGTGTGATGTAAACTTATCTTATAAAAATAGTTAATGTAGTAACTGGAATTTCAAATCTAAGCTCGTTGACTGATAAGTATTTTCTATATAGATTAAAAAATAAATTAAAGGCTTAAAGAGAAGCAATCAAATATTAAAAACTTAAACATGTTTCTATTATATATAAAAAAGACATTTACGTGAACTTTTACTAATAGCACGTTATCCATATCCGATTTTTTTTTTATTTATATTCACATTATTTATTACCGCTTCGATACAGTATTATACATATACTTTGTAATCACCATGAGTCATCCATTATTTTCTGCGCACTGATATATTTTTTTTAATCAAATTATTTTTACTTATCTGGTTTTTTGCGTTCGTAATTAAAGCGAGATTATCAAAGAGGTATTTACCCTTTATTTAAAATTTTAAGCATGTATATTATAGAAATGTGGTAGGTAAATATTACGTAATATTTTTACAATCAGCTTGTTAATCAAGAAATATAAAAGACGCCGTTTATTAATTGCTAGGAGAAGTAAGTTTTACAGTATAAACAATGCGAGTGAGTTTCTTGTATTATTCTGTTATCGTTTATGCTGTGTGTCATAGAGAAACGTCATCAGACTTTATAAACATGAGAATTAGTAAAAGTTCACAATAACGAAACGTCGTTACGTAAACACCGATATGGCCGCGCTTGACGATGGGGCGTGGCTTGCGTGGGGTTGCCAACAATAGTAAGTGCATATTCTTTATAACACGCAGGGTGTTAAAAAATTAGGTACAGTAATTTTTACAGCTGAAAGGAGTCAGCTCTCGGGTATAAATAAATATAACAGATAACAGATTATAGGTTTTATGATGTTTTTTTGGAGAGATATGAGAAACAAATTGTTACGTAAAATATGCTGTAAATGAGCTTCAAATGAAATGCCTTCTCTTTATGAATCAGTTGAAAAGATAAATCAAATAGTTTAATGTCATTGTCATGCTATTTGTTTGATATTTAAGTCAGACAACTGTTGACTTTATAGATAGTGTTGAACATGTAGTCAGTTAAATGCACAGAAGGAATATTTTAAAACATAATTATAATTATGATAGTTATAATTATGATAGTTAAAAAATAATTAATTTATTGAAAGGTCTATTAAAATATTGGTAACTAATTTGTTAGCACCCCAATATACGTACTTACAAGTATTAACTAGCAAACAATAAATCAAATTTACTTGCTAGTTAATTGAGGTTTGATTTAACTTTTTTAACCTGATAAAAAGTTGAGTTAGTATCTCGTCGGATACTACTTAAAGTTTCCTTGAGATTAGTTGGCAATTCTGTCGGGTCGCACGGTGCGGGAGGGCGGCGGGTTTGCGCGGGCGGGACGGGGGTCAGGACCAAAATATTAGTTTCCTTGTTGTCGCAAGGGCTGCGGCGCGGCTGCGGGCGGAGCGACGCCGGCGGTGCGCAACACAACCGCCCCTAATAGCGATAGCGGTAAATTTACATTTTGGGTTTGTAAACCTTTGTCCTTAAACTAGATTGTTTCACAAGAGCTGGCATTCAATGGAGCGAGTGATGTAAGTACGCACGAAGTAGAATCGTCGCCATACATCGTCAATATACAGGGATCCAATCCAATTCTTTTTGTTTTAATAATAATTGAACTTAAATCCATTTGTGCGAACTTTTGTGAAACAAACTATACATACACACCACACGCACTCAAATCACAGAAGCGTACATTTACAGTTCAATACAAACAGACAAGACGACACCGCACAAAAGATATACAAACCCTTTTTGAATTTACTTAAGCTTATAGTTTGTCGTTTCCATCAGTATAAAGCTGGCAACTTGCATAATAGTAAGTTCATATTAACTTTACAACGTAGATAGTAGAACACTGGACTCTGACGGCCCTGTGGTGTAAGCAACACGCTGGTAAAACCAGAGATCCGGGATCGAGACCCGGCTGGGATATAAAGAGTTTCCATTGTCTCCTATCGCTTTATATCTCATACAAGTTAATAATTGTATTTTGATTGTTAACTGTAAATTGAAACTTACGTTCCGCTTTCAACAATAAAACATATTAAACAAACGTAAAAAGAAATGTTTTTTTAATGTTCGTGTGTGTAACGACTCAATGATTGATGAAGAAGCCGTTTGTTTCAGGCGTGATGCAGGCATCTAACACGGGAAGCACGAAATTGGACAAGAGATACTCGCCATGTTTCCGCGAGGAGAACGGGCGAAAGCAGTCGCTCACCGGCAAGCGCAGGCGCGACGACGTGTTCAAGTGCGTATCCGGGCGGCCGCGCGTCCGCCTGACACTTTTCGACACTTGTCATGTGTCCTTTATCATATTTCAGAAGCTTTGACGTACGACGGACCCGCTCCCGACGTCGCCATTAATTCCATACGATCGCAATACTTACATATCCCACTAACGCGTGAGCGATGCACGACCTCACTCTGCGTGCCTCCGATGACTAGCGTCTTGGAGTCGTGGTAATAATATAAAATGAAATTTTCAATTCAATGTAACAATATAACAGATAACACCGACAATGTGTTTCAATTAGCTCCTACATTACGCTATGTTCGATGCTCGCCCGCATTTGGACCCCATTGGCGGACGTTTTTCATGTGACGTTTCTGTTTGCAGATTTAAAGTTCACCGTAATGGCAATGCTAGTGAAGTTCTTAAGAGCATTGCACACATGGACAATTCGAATAAGCAGTGTAAGTTTTTTCTTAATATATTTTGTTTTTTACTGGGTTATAAATAGTCGTCGAATAGAGTCGAACAGAAATATAGAGTCGAATTCTCAATTATTTAAAAGATCATCTCATATGAAAGGCAGAATTACTGCAAGCAGGGCTTGCACAGACATTTAGGGTAGGGTATGCATGTACCTATATTGAAAGAACTTACCTAGTTTCAGTACATTCTAATGAGTTCGACCACATGGCTTGCCAGGTTGATCATTTGATATTGGATGGTCATCATAAATATTGAAATAAGTTACCGAAAAATTATTTGGTTTTATCGAGACAGTAAGAACTACTAAACTGCTAATACCTGATATTTTAAACATTGTTCACATAACCAGATAGCTACGAAACGTTTGGTATGAATCTGAACAATCCCTTAATTTTTATAAATTAAATCTACGTGCTTATCATTTTCTTTAATATTCTTAATTTCATCCTCCTCAATAGTCATCCATAAGGAAGGTCAGAGCCCCTGCAGTGGGGACGTAAAAGGTTTGATGATGATGAGATAATGAATATGTGTGTTTCTTTTGTAGATTTCCTAATGATGGAGAACATAACGTCGTCGTACCGGCGGCCGTGCGTTCTCGACTTGAAGATGGGCACGCGGCAACACGGCGACGACGCGACTGCGGAGAAACGCAGCAAACAAATGGCCAAGTGCGCCGCCAGTACGTCCGGCTCGCTAGGAGTACGCCTCTGCGGTATGCAGGTAATGAAACACTCGTGATTATTTGACTACCCCCGCAGCCGAGTTGTTCAAGGTGACGCCATCTCTGAGGTCCCGGGTGCGATTCCCGGTTGGATGTTTCTATATTATCTTGCTTTTGGGTCTTGTGGTGTCTTCGTTGTATCAGATACTACGTAAAAGGGCTTTACTCATCTCGGAATTTGAGCGATGTATGCTAATATTTATATTTATACACCATAAATATACCTACATAAATAAACACCAAAGCGCCGAACCCGTCACAAAATAAAGACCCTCTAGATCTTCCTCTCTTTCTTTTCCCTTGGGGTCCTCTCCACATGGTGATAATGTCGGTCTATCTTTAGTCTCTAAGCCTTCCTATATGGCCGGCCTATTTCCACTTTAATTGTTCTGTGTAGCTCAAAGCATCAGAGGCTTTTGTAATTGCTCTTATTTTTGTATGACGAATCTTATCTAGTTTTTTAATAAGTATGCTTCTCTCCATTCCTCGCTTAGATAGGAGCCTCGAATTACTTTACGCATATATAGAGTACAATTAAGTCTCTGCTAGCATCGCATCCAGCAGAGATATTAGTAAATAAGGAACAATGTTGGACCGAGTACGTTTCCTTAAGGAATTCCAAATACAAAATGTTCTCCCTCGGTGATATAGTTTCCTATTCTAATATTGTCTTTTCTTCTGATGAAACTTTTAAAAAGAAAATGGTCTCTTTTATTTAGTGTTCAAAAACTAGGGCTTCAATACAGTACTAGGGTTTTACTACTTGCATTTTGACCTTGTACTATCTACCTGAAGTCTTATATTATTAGTGCAAACTGTTCCTGAGAAATCAGTAGTGACAGATATATTTATTATTTTGTGATCTAGTAACAAGTACGTCATAATGGGGTAGTAGTTGAAGCGTGCGTGCCATAATTGCGTTAAAATTAGCAGATTTATTGTCATCATTTGTGAATATAAATGAGTAGCTATAATTTTCCGTAAACAATCTTATCATATTAACATTCCACCAAGATCAAGCACTATTGCGAGGACTTTTTATCTTTGTGTGAACGTTTGAGGATTTTCCTCTACGTTGCTGAGTAATTAAGAGATAGATTAATCGAGAGTTGTTAAATGATTTTTTCCTCGAAGCATGTGTATAAAGTTTTAAGGATGACTTCAAATTTTTTTCGTTTGTCCATCAGGTAAAAAAATACTTATTTAATAATCTGTAATAATACAGATTATTAAATAAGTATTTTTTGCATAATCAAGAAGTTAAAGTTGTAATGTGGCATGACGTCACACCTTTGGACATTTTCTACATGCTACATCTTTGTACATTTTATACATCAAGTAGCTATGATGTCGTGAGCTCCGATTCCTCATTTTAATACCTATTATCTAAGCCATTTCTTGGTGAATTGAAGAAAAAAAAAATACGTATCCTCCGACTGTACATATATCTACATAACTTGTGTCGTCCTCACGTCACTATTCGACGTTCCAAATACGTTTGTCGCGCTTTCCATTTCAAAACATGCTTCCGGATACGACCTTGTATTGTTCGTATTCACAATTTCCTTTAGATATTTTGTAACTGCAAGGAGTTTTTTTTACAATATTTTATTGATTTGCCGTCTAAATAAATAATTAATATTAAAACCTCAGTAGTAAATCCAGAATAAAAATACTTGTTTCAAAAAGGTTTCGTGAACCAATTTATCATATATCGCGTACTGCAAAACCGTGCGCAGTATTTAGCGCGTTCGGTCTCTGATGCTGAAGTTAAACGATAGACGGTCGTAGGATGGGTGGCCAAAAGATTTATTATCTTGAGTTTTGGTTCCTCTGTGATTCGGAAGGCACGTTAAGCCGTTGGTCCCGGTCGTTACCAACCACCAATATGCGCTGGACCCGCGTGGTAGGTCATAGGTCATTCTCATTATTCGAATTGTTTCAAACTATATGGATAAGCCCTGTGCTCCAGCATAATCGGTGCTTACGTTATGGTGATATTATGCTAGTAACCATGTCGTTGTTACGACTATGAAAGTATACCATTCCAAATGTGGTCATGCTGATGTCTTTATGAAAATATTAATATTAAACCTCAATAAAAAATCTATTTTTTCATAGTTTAAGCTATGTGTATAGTACAGTACACACATTAATACTGGCATGCACGGCAATAGCCATACCATCGTTGTGCACGTTAGTAATGTTAGGAGCCGGCCCGTCCATATAGGCAAACTAGGCAATTGCCTAGCCTAGGCATGGCATGGCATACAGATTATCTTTGCTACAATTATTTGAACCTTAAAAATATCACTTTTGTTCTTTGATGCATGTCGCAACATTCAAAAGTACAACATTTTCAGACCAGCTCTTAAGCTTCTTTTATTGTTGGCAAAATTACGTTCTTTAATCGGTGTACCTACATTAGTCTTTTATTTTGTTGTGATTTTTTTTTTATGGTCGTTTCAATGTTTTGTCTTAAGCGCCAAGTTTCAATAAGCCGGCGCCGCCGCTGGTTACGACATATATCTTTATATTCATGTCTTGGAAATATAATAATTGTTACTCATTATTATATGTTATCAATTTTATATACACAATGTTATCCTGAAAAATATTATTAATGAAAAATGTTTAAAAATCATTTTGTCAGAGTGCACGGGACAAAGTGGATTTTTAAACATTTTTCATTAAGAATGAGAATTGAGAAAAATGCCTAAAAAATCGACGACCTTTTGCAATCCAAATGACTGCTTTAACCACTGAGCTACTCAGGACCTAACAGAACTGACGTATTTATTCTTGGGTATCTACCACTACATTCCGGTTACCATTTACTAGTAAAATCATACTAACTGCTAGTCTCCTGCTCCAGTCTTTACATAACCTTTGTAAAAGATAAACTTTTTCTATGGATGGAATGGAACTCGAACCGACGACGACAGGTCGTGCGTTCGAATCCCGTCTCAGAGTACCTGGGACTGGTGGATTTTTTAAGAATATTGTTACTTATTGTTTGCTCTATTTTACTCGATACAGTTTAACCACATGTTAGCACCATATTGAATCGTATTCTATAAGTAACTCAATGCTGTTGTTTCCCGAAGAATAAATAAATAAATAAAATAAATTATACAGAGGTACGTACCAGAGACGGGTGCGTGTATACGTCGCGACAAGTATTGGGGGCGTGCCTTGTCAGAGGCGGGGCTTCGTGAAGCGTTGCGGGATTTCTTCGCGGCCGGCGGCTCACTTCGCACAAGGGTAGTACAAGGCGTACTGAGAGACTTGGACGCGATACGACGTGCCATCGCTAAGCAGACCAACTACAGGTTTTATTCATGGTGAGTTGTCAGCGTGCAAAAATATATCAGTCGAACATTTAACCTTTTCTATTTTGAAGTCAGTTAAAAAGAGATAGAAATATTATAATTTTTCATATTAACATCTGTAAATGTTTTTGTTGTTTGTCATGTCATCGTAATTTATATTAGTACGGTTGGAAGACGACGAAAAATTAGAAACTTTTAGGTTGGAGTATGACAAAAACGCAAGAGCAAGAGCCGAGCGATTAAAGCGAGCGTGCCGCGGTAGCGGCCGGCGAAGTGCCAGAAACGGATCGCTATTTAAAATGAAACAGCTAATTAAACTAATTAATGTCAGAACACGTCGTGGCTTTTCTTCATTGCCACAACGCGTTGTGGTCAAATAGCATGTGGCGCTGGAAGGCCGCAACGAAAAAGGTAGCCAGTTCAGCAATTTGTCAGGTCGTTATCGACCCCAAAGCTGATTTTCAATTGCCCCCTCGCTTTCTCGGCAGGTAGATGCCAAACTTCCTATTAACATAGGTATGTAATATGTGTAATATGTCCACAGCTCGCTGCTGATAGTGTACGAGGGCGACGTTCAACATCCAGTACGTACGGAAGCCGTGAGTCTCGTTGCCGATTACGATGCGGATGCGTCCAGCAGTTCCACTGACCTTCCATCGCCCGGCAACTTCGACATGTCCACGCTGCACGACGAGATCTCCACCGACCGCGAACCGTTCCGGCCCCACTCCGAGGAGACTATGGGAGGGTACGAGGATGGCGAGATCGCCGGCCATTCGCCTCGTCGCCATCCACCGAGCCCGGACTCTACGGACAGCTGGATGGCGTACTCGTCCACCTCTAGTGAGTCGTGGCGGGGCGAAGCGGACGCGGAGGTGGAGCCGAGAACGGGTATCGCCGCGAAGGAGGGAAAGAGAGCGCGCACTCGGGCCCCGCCCACCGTTTCCGACGACCGCGTCGACATCCGCATGATCGACTTCGCGCATACCGCGTACGCAGGCGCCGCTGCGGAGTCGCCTCTCGCGACGGCCACGCCCCACGATGGCCCCGACTGCGGATTCCTCACCGGTATCGATAGTCTAAAACGGCTCCTCACGGAGATCCTCTCGCCGCCCTACAGTTAATGAAACCGAAGCTGTAGAAAAATAACAAAAAAAATTCGGACCTCCCTTCGGATTTCCGTGCCGCCGCGCTGCCCGGCCGCGTACGGTGGCGTCGGAAGTACTCGTGGACCGACGGATCGACGTCGGATCGCACGGATCGAAATCGTTCCAGGAAATTTAATACTGTTCGACTGATGTATGTAATATTAAACGGTAAATAGGAAATTTATCGACGCGTCGTCGTGTAAATATATGGATAGACGAACAGAGAGAGATGACGCAGGGTATTTTTTATTGATCTTTTTTTCTTGAGTTCGTGCTAGGCCGCCCGCCGTTTTCGCCCTAAAGTTTGTTTTCTCTGTTTGTGTAACTGTACGGCGACGATCGCACTTAGTGAATGTTGGCGGTACAAACTACATTAATTTATATATATAAAAAAAAACATTATTATTTAACTTGGGACCCAGTAGGTATTTTTAAATATTGTATTTTTAAGTGTTACTATTAAGTTATTTCAGATTGTCGTATTTTGTTTTGTTCGGTTCGTTTTTCAATTTTCCTTTTCTTGATTTCTGAATAAATCATTAATGCACAATCGTTCACAAAAATTGAGTAGACATTCCTTGTCACTTATGTATTTTCGGAATTGTATTAATTTCTATTGTATAGTATTGCTATATTGAATGAGAAGCTTTGTTTTGCATTTAGATTCCATGTTTTTTTACCGTCAAATTAAATATACTAATTGATCCCAGTCAAATAAGCCAAAGTAATTTGTTGTAGTTGTGAACTGTATAATATTTAGTAATGCTAAAATAGACAAGAACATTTGTAATTATCATATTTAACTGACATCCAAACTGATGTTTGTGATTAATAATTTGGACTGTATATTTATAATAGATGTTAATTGCTTTACTCCATATCCATTTATATAAAAACTTGTGTTGGAGCACATGTTTGACATGAGGAGTTTATTATAATTTTGCAAGCAGTGTTTTGGATTGGAAATTATTAGCGAGAATGTAGAATGTTGAGAATTTGTATAATGTTGCCAGTATGATGAGTCATCTTCTATCCTGCTCTATGAGTTAGGGTGGACGTGTGGTTCTGATGTGGTTGGATCCGCATTTGGTTATAAAAATGCGGTGGCCTACAGTTTAGCCAACATTCCTTCGTGCTGCATTCGTCATTGTCTTTATTATAATTTTTATTAGAGTGATAAATTTTATGAAAAGTACCTGGTTTAATTAGGATGCTAGGTTGTATTAAAATTATCATTTACGTCTGTTATTTTAAATAACTGTATGACACTATTTTGTTAAATAAATTTTAGGTATTGAATGTTTGGTTTTATTTCATCATTAAGGTATCTTCACTGGTTAGGATAACTAAAATCAAACTTAAAAGATAATGCTTATGGTAAGTGTATATCTATTACAAGTTAAAGAAGGTGGATGAAATGGGTTTCTTCACACCTTGCAAATTGATGATGGACTTCAGAATTCTGACGATTCGGAGAATTTGTCCGTGACTGTCCGTCAGGTTGCCAATGATATCTAAACTTCTTGGCTATATCTCAATCTCATTCTTTTATTTAAACGTCAAGTAATATTAGCATGAACTCATAAAGCATTGAAACTTTTAACATCCTCCGAGTATTCACCACCGTAGGGTAACATGAAGTGGAATATCTCGACAACCACAAAGTATTTTACCGCTGTGAATATTCTAAATTCTATGACTATTCTGGTCTCCTAATATTGTGACGAAATGCAGTTAAAACGTGATAAAACCTAGAAGTTATAACCAGAATAATTATTGATTAAAGTCAAACCCTTCCGCATTGTGGATTGGTATAAGCACGTTCTGTGGGTGTGAGTGTGTGTTTGCAATGATTTTACCATCAAGAAAATTTGCTATCTACTAGAATAACAGTCAATTTATGAACATAAATTTAGATGATAATTATTTATTATTTTCCGTAAGTTTTATTAGAATTCTTCTAGGACCAAGTGTCTATCGTGCTAAGCTATCGAACCATAATTTATAGAACTCATTCCAGAAACCACAGAGCTACTACATTCTATAATAATTTCCCGCCATTATTACATTAGGTTAGAATTGAAAGTTTTTGAAACAAAAGAAAAATAAAGTTTGTTAAACATTTGAAATCCTTTAATTTCTATTTATTGAACACTACGATTGGTCATAATGTCCGAAACTACCGACGTACAAGCTTTGGAGAAAATATCGACAGAGGTTGGAGATTCTCAAATAAAAATTACTCTCTCAAGCCAATGCATAAAAGGTTTTACTTTTTTTAACTTAAGTTTATTTATTCTTTAAATATTTTCATATTTTAAGTATAATTTATGTTATGTTCATGTTATAAATATTTTCACCTTTTGTAGCGCAAGCCTTTTTAGTTGACAGACTTCGAAAACAAAGTGAACGTCAAAAAGAGATTTGTAATTTAATGAGCAAGGATAATTTGAAATTACAGGTGGAAATAAGGCAGGCCGAATTTGAAATCAAAAGGTATTATTAAGTAAAGCTATTAAAAAGTAGAAGAAACTATACCTACATATTTACCTATTTAGATTTACTTACAACTGATTTCATTAAAAAGGAGAGGGTCTGTTCGTTTACGAGTATCCCAATCTATTCCTTTTTTTAGATGTAGCTATAGTACTTAAATTATAGTTAAATGAAATTTTTTTGTGGTCTGGATCATTAGTTACTTATTTAGTATTTTTTTATGTCCGTGATTGATTACGAATTTTTTAGACTAATTGATTTTTTTAATTATAAATGTCAACATTTTGGTCCCAAAGAGACAACAGATCTAAGCGGGAGTACATGCGCCTAAATCATCGTAAGTATGTAATAGCAGTTTTTTTATAATGGTAATTACTCTAAATAATAGAGGTAAGTATTTGGGAAGGATTATTACATATTATTAACAAATTAAAGCTTTTTATTAAGTTGGGTGGTAAATCATTATGTCGATTACTTCACATAAGCTTCCGGCCTCCGTCTCTTCAATATGTGCCACTTTGCTTTGTCTCTCGACATCGTTGCAACTACTGTTTGCGACTTTCTCTATATCTAGTTGGAGCGTATTTGCTTGTGTCGGCTGTGGGCTCTATTTAAGATGGTTTAGTGTAAGCTTTTTTGACATTTACGTTCACCTTCAATCGTGATAGCGGTAAAATTTTTGCAAGAAAGCAGCACAGCGCTCATAGCAGTAACTTTTAAGAACTATAAATTTTCATACAAATTCTTAACAAGCTCACTGGTGAAATACGTAGTATCTTCTTTTCATTCACAACTATTAACTCGATCCTTCTATTGTAGATTCTTCGACACATGCTAATTCTGCTACGTCAGATATATGTATGTGCTATGTCAATGAATTTGATTCCCTGATACATAAACTTGTTAATTTTTTTTGCCAATAATCCTTAGAATGACACTTTATATAACAAAAATTTTAATGAAACGGAAGCTTAATCTTGTATCATATGTTACTTAACGAATTTATCGTACCTACCATTTATAATGCACCTTTTTTTTCGTCTAATCTGATAAAGAAGCTCAATACATAACGATAGTTTAAGTGTGACTACAACTACCTATCTTAATTAATTACGTTTTTACAGTTTGTTAGAGGCGAAAGAAACTATTAAATCATCAAATGTAGAGCTCAAGAAAGAGTGCTTACTATTAAAAGAACGAAAATCTGAAATAGAAGACCGAATCCAAGACTCTGAAAAGAAATATGAAGACTTATGGTTGGAGGCTAAAGCTAGATATGAAAGTATTCCGTTTGTACAAAAATTGCTCCAGGCACAAAACAGAACTCAAACTATCAAAGAAGACCTTTCCAATTTAATACACGAATCTGAAGATTTAAGTAAAGAAATTGAAAAAAAGAGACAATTCTTAGCTAATTTAAATAAACAACGTATAGTAGAACTTGCACAGTATATAGTTCATGATTTGCCTAAAGCTAAGAAAACCATACAAGAGAAAACGCAATCCATATGCGAAATAATAAAAAATATCGATGAAATGGTTAAGAAACAGGAGAGTTCATTAGATAATTCTAAAGTTAAGGGTACTACAACATCTATAATCAATCCCAAAGAGGCGAGTGTAATTGAAAATCTGAATAACGCAGCAGAAGATGGATGGTTTAATTTTGGCCAAGCTGATAAGCCACATTCATTACCAGTAAACCTCTTCACAGCATTATTTTTTTCATTTAGATTACAATTATTCAGTCAATGTATGTAACTTATCCATATTTTTATAGATGCCGCAAATACAGCTAATTCAATCAGATTTTGAGGCTTTGAGTGCTAAATTGGACAAGGTAATTTTTAAATGAATCACTCAGTTTTGATAAGATATTATTGAAACATAGAGTAAGTGTGAAATATAAGTTACGTTTTATTTTAGATTAAAATGAATAAAATAGAAATTTTCAATATAACGCCTACCAAGAGAGCTGATCCTATTGAACCAGATACAGGAATTTACAATAAGAAACTTAAAATGGACGAAGAAATTTCTAAAGATTTCAAAGGAACAGTTATAGAAGACAGGGATTATGGGGATGCAAAGGAAACGGAAAAACAGGAAAACTACTCGAAACGGAAATTAATAAATATTTTGGAAGACATAAAGCTTGATAATGATGATGCTTATAAAATTGTATCGAAGGTCAATCCTGACACACTCAAAGATGTAGATAAAATTGGTGCAAGTATTAATAACAAGAAACAAATTTCAAACTTAAGAAAAGTAGAGGTAAGATTTCCAAAATTTTCGATTTCGTCAATGAAATAGGATCGTTTTTGATTTGCTAAAATTAATATTCGCAGTTTAATGAAGTTATAGAAGAAATCGATTTAACAAAGAGTTCAGAAAATATATTGGTGCCACCTACACAATTTTTGGACTTCGGAGAGGTTTGAAATTATCATTGCTCGTGATTTCAAGTATAAGTAGAGGGGTTCGCTTATCCCACTTCAAAAATATGATAAAATCATATCGAATAAAAAATAATCAAAATTTCAGGCTGAATATTTAAATGGTTCCCAGCAACAGGTAGAAGTTATTGTACATATGTCAATGTCCAATTCACCGGGAAATAATGGAAACTCGAGGGTATGTTAATATAGAAATAAAAAAAAAACACAGGGGGAATATTCCATATGTAAATACTAGCTTTCCGCCAGCGGCTTCGCTCGCGTGGTCCGCTGGTACCTTACTCTTAGATCTAAACTCCCCTCCCGCACGCGCATCCCCGCCTCGGTGACGCTTCGCCGTGCAGCAGAAATTGTAATATTTTTGTTTCGCCATAACTTTAAAACCGAACGTCCAATTTAATAATTCAAAGACCAAATATTATCTTAATTAACTGTACTTAGTGACGAAATAATTTATTTTGATAAAGATTAATATTAATAGCAATAAAATAAACACGTTTAAATGTAGTCCAAAAAAATTCAAGATTTTTAAATAAAAACATGTTGTGCCTCACTCAACGTCTGGTATAGTGGTCTCGCGGACTTTTTTGTAGATATTTATAAGATCTACAATTAATTAGACCATTTTATGGTTCTATCTATTATAGTTTAGGCAGCGTACGCAAAATAAGTAACTTTTCTGGTTGATTTTTTACACCTTGTGTCCGAAAAACCCAAATATCTTACGGAACCATATTTTTTTCCAAAATAAAATATAGCCTATGTTACTCGTGGATAATGTAGCTTTCGAATGGTGAAAGAATTTTTAAATTCGATCCAGTAGTTTTTAGCCTATTCATTACAAACAAACAAAGCTTTCCTCTTTATAATACTATAGTATAGAAGTATAGATTAGGCAACATAACATATTGCTCAGTAACCAAATTAAGTTAAGCACTTGTATTATCGAAATCTGAAACTATGACCGGAAATCTAACCCGGTACCTCAGAAATGGCGACACTTTGAAACAAGGGTGCGACCGTGTAACTCTCTAGTCATAGGATACATCTTAACGAATATTAAGACAATATTTCGTTTCATTATACTATTTTAACATGTATCATGATTTTACTATTTTGAGCCTCTTGATAGATTAATTTGGGATAAATGACTAAGTTGGAAACATTGCTGTTAAATCCATATTCACCATTCTTTATCATTCGGTCTTCGTTATTAAAAAACATGTCAAAGTAGTAAAATGAAACGAAAATAGCACTATAAAAACGTTACTTATATGTTATCCTGTCTTGTCTTATCCACGGAGGTCGATAATAAAATATAATATTATTAAAATATAATAAAAAAAAATAAAAAAAATTAATATTACTGTAATTGCATGAGATATAAATGTTGATGATTAAGTAAAATTTTCGTAACGTTGACACGTATTTAGGATTTCTTTAGTTAGAGCATATTATACCAAACCATTTAACTGTATGAGTATTTCTAATAAGTATAAGTTACTTATATATTATACTTTTAGCTTTAGGGCTAATCTAACGTGTTGTGAGTTAATACTTGAATTTGATATATCTATGTTTTCGTAACTATAATTCTTTTGTTCAATACACAGAAATAAATATAAAAAGTTTGGAAAAGTGTTCACAGGAGAATAATAAGAAGGTATGTTTTGATATTCCTATGAAGATACAGGAAATAAATGAAGAAAATGGGAATGAAGGTGATCCCATGGTTCCTATTCAAGTAGCGACAAACGAAAACGATGTAAATGAAACATTTGAAAGTGAAGTTGATGTGAATCTAGTGAGTAACGACAGTTACAACAAGATGAAAGATATGATATTGAAGAAACACAACTTGGACTTATCACCGCAATTTGTTTATGCTAAAAGAAGTGCTAACTTGCAAACGGCAAAAGTGAGTGTATATTTCGAAATGATTAGTTTTATTTTGTTAGTGATATTACCCTTTGAGCCATAGAGATAGGAGCTAGATGGCTTAGCAGGTAACGCGTTTGGTCTGCTATGCGCAATTCAAGCAACGCTTCCATCCAAAGTGAAGGCACAGTAGGAAAATTCTGCTAATGTTTACGTAATAATCACATCTCAATAGAATCTCAACTACTTATATATTTCTACTGCACTATCTATAAAAAGTCCTATATTATTATACATCTGTCACCTTTGATTTGTGTGGAAGGCATGGCAATAATAATATTGGACTTTAGATAGATATTACGATGCCAAAATGTAAGTTAAAGTAAAGAGATACTATTATTACATAAACATTAGCAGAATTGGCATACTGTGCCCCAGCAGCGGGGATATTAATGGGCTGGTGATAATGATGATGAATCCATAGGTAAAAGGATGCATTTGTTTATGCGCGTTTTAAATTTATCTTGTTTGATTATTGCTTTCGTACAAAGACTTCATCAGAATAATAATTCATCAGAGCTGAAAAATAAATATAGGGTGCGTTTTTGATTAAACTTGTTGGTTTTTGCTAGTTACCTTTTTTTGTAAAGGTAGGGTTCATGCACATTATGCCTCATACTTGCTACTGATTGTGGAGTCGTAGGGGCTCAGATAAATATTGTAAAAAAAAATTACTAGGGAGTCCATGGGTGAAGGATCCGGGATCCTGCACTCCGGACATATAAGCTACGTTAGTAGGTAATTACCCACTTATCAGTAATTCGAACTTAAAATTTTCAGCAAACTGATGACAAAATTGTCACATCCAAATTCTTTCAATCTGATAAACCTGATACAATGGCTAAAAATGAAAACATGCTGGAAGTCACTGAGAATTCACCACAGAGTGGAAATGCATCAGTACATCAAAAGCGAAATAATGAGGAGCAAAATATGGAAGTAGATGAAGTAGTTGTATCTAGCCCAAAGGTTTTTATTTGTAAAATTATTCTGTCTCAATTAGCTAAAATACACTTTTTACCAATTTCGATAAAGGAGGAAGTTATAATTTTGACTTGCTTATTAATTATAATTAATAATTATGCATGCTTCACAATAGCAGACTGATTTTGACGATTTTTTTATTTATTTGAAGGATATATTATTATATAAAGTAAGGTATGTTATTCAAAGGGGTCCCATATAGTTTATTTTTTTTTATTTTAATCTAATCAGTGGGTTGTGTAATTTCAAAACCCATCACAAGCCCCTTTAAAGCTATAGCGATTTATTAAATTATGTAACTTGTAAAGTCGAAATCGCTCTTAGAATGAACGATAATTTGAATGATCAAGAAACAATAAAAACTTTGTAACTTGAAATAATATTTGCATCTAATGTAAAAAGATAATTTTAATGAAGGTAAAATTAACGATATTGTTCATTAAACATTAAATAAAGTTGTGATCGCACCGCTATCACATGTCAAATATTGCAAATGATAAAAAAAAACCATTAGGTCACTGTTTTGAAAGTAAGCTCAAACCTTATTTATTTTAAAATACAAAAATTTGGTATGTTATTCATCATAACTACAAATTGTCGCATATTTGTAATTGATATAATTTTTAAATATTTTAGGCAATACAAAAACAAGAAAAATCATACACTGGTTTACTTTTTAAACATGATGCACAAGGCATTCCTGATTCTTTAAATGTGTCAGTGAGTACCACAGGATTTGAAGAGGGTGATCCAGACTTCCCACATTGTATTGGTGATGTTTTTTATGATATCAGTTATTTTATATGATATTCAAATTTGAAGAAAGATTACTTATTTAAACTACATTTTTCCCAGATTCCAGTTTACTTTTATCTCCTAAAGCTGATTATCCTTTGCCTGCAAGTGGAGACAACGTTGAAGTTTCATCTCAAGAGGTCCCTAATTTTCTGTCAGGTAACCATTATTTGAATTTTTGAAATATGTAAATAATATCACTGGTAAGGCATCTCTTATATAGTTATAATTTCTTAATTTTGATCAGGTTTCAGAAAAACTGCATTTTCTTTCTTTGGACAATCTGCTGTAATATCAGATTCTAAAGCAAATACAAGTGAACAAAATCAAAACAATTTTAATTTCAATTTTGGAGGAGATGAGAAGAGAGGAAGAGGAGGTTTATTTAACATGTTTCATTAGTTAGGTCATTCTTTTTCCATAATTATTCTAAGAAAATAAATTCAGAAATAAGAAATCAGCTTTTTATTTAAAATATTATATCAAGAATATTATTTACTGATGTAACTGACAAGCCCTTACTGCTATTAACTGTAAAAGTATAAATAGTGGAGCAAATACTTCGCTATATTCTATTGCTGAATCACCTTGTAGTTTTCTACATAACAGAAACTTAAATACAAATGTCAATCCAAGGAATATAGCACTCCAGGATGCTCTATACAAGGAAGCTTTGTATGAGCTCTCCAAATTCATTCTTATACATACTATACAACAAAAATATGCATTCATAGCATCACTTACAAATAATGGTGCAAATATAGTCCACCATGCACTATTTATCACTCCATCAATCTTCAATGCTAATAACACTGAGAATATTGTTATTGTAATTAAATTTATCCATATTTCAAACACTGTTAACCCAATCCATTGCACAATTTCATTTAATGTGAAGAACATTTTAGGATTATTGATTTGCACCAAGCATGGCTGTACGGAACACTCTTATGTGTATTGAAGAAGAGTGTCTCACTTGTGATCCAAAGTCTAGGTCGTCTGATAGTGGCTCCAAATCATCTGCGTAATATATGCTTATATTTTAATCACAATTATGAAATATTAAATGTGTGGTGTGATATAGTTATAAGTACTTACCAACTAAGTCAACCGTGCCAGTGTTTACTTCTATTTGGTAGGTTCCAGAGAATAAAATCTCTAGCTGTAATGCTAGGTTACAGCATCTCTGAATAGCCGCTCCTAAGCCGTGTAGTATAATTTCCTTTTCTCCTTTGGTCAATAGGTCACAGCATTTGTCTAACTGGGCCTGTAAATACATATTTAGAGAATCAGAAGTAGATAAAAATGATGTTTCTAGACGAGTTTATAAAACAGGTATACCTTAAAATTGGTCTTCTTTGTTATGAATATAACATTGTCACCCTCTACAGGCCTTAGAGGTAATCTTTTCTTTACAGCATAGTTTTTATTTGGGCGTTTAAATTTCTTTTTAGGTTCTTCTTTCTTTTGAGTGATATTTTCATCTGCCATAGCTTCTTCTTCTTCTTCTTTTTTAATTCATGGCCTATTTGCATTTACACAATTCCGCCAATGTCACGTTTGTGGTCTTTACACGTATAGAAACTTCTTCTGAATGCCATAGCTTAAAAAACAACTTCAGATTTTCTTCTACATCAGATTGACATTGACAGACTACTTTTTAACCTACAAACTTTGACGTTGATGTTCTAAGAATGTGTTCAGAAAATAAATACAAGTATGAAACTGAATTAAAAGGTCGTCATCAATCAACATATTTTTAAAGTTTCAAAAAACATCCAGTCTGATTTGACTTGGCTTTAATGAAAAATGCTCAAAAATACCTTCTAGCCAAGTCTTCAGCGGGATAATTTTTTAATTTCAATATCTATCGCAATACCTTTTTAAAGTATAGCATTTATGCAGTCATGTAACATTTAAAGTCGCAATTATCATCCGTATTTAGATGGTATTTAGATACGTCTTTCTCAATACCCATAATTTCAAAGAGATTTGCGTCAACGCTTGCCTTAGATAATTCCAACCAACGATATCATTCATTCAATGTCTTTCAAAAAAGGCCGCGATCGTAATCGTATTACATGTTAAATAGTTGTTGCTTTTTAAAAGAAATTGTGATATATTTTAAAATTAGAGAATTAAGCCCCGGGTTTCAGACGTTTTCCATTAGTATAAATTCCAAATGGACCTTATCTATTAGTTCTAAATATATTGGATTTTACAGATCAAAGAAAAATTCTGTCTTAAATTATTTTTAACTGAAGCAAAGAACAATGGTCAAAATGGACTACGAAAAAAAAAGTTCTTGTACCAAGATGGAACTATCACCAAAATGTAGAATAAGTTGAATGTAATTATTATGTACCAACAATTTATTTTTAAAAGCTGGTATAAGAAAGATAATCTTGTCTAAAATATGTCTTTATTTTTTAGAACGAAGTTTAAATTATGTTATTTTTGAACGTATCTTATTCAAAATGCCATTCCTAGAGAAGTCCCTCTCTTTTCAAAGAACAAGATCGATATTATTTTTGGCTAATCGAATTTGTTACAAATGTTATATTATTTACTAACTATATAAATCCGTTAAAATTATAAAACTTAGATTAGATAACTAATATAATTAGATGTTACTTAGAGGAAAATAGTTTATTTATAATGAAATTAAAAACAAGTGATTATTCATAAGAATCGATATTACAGTATTCAATCGATTGCGACCTCCCTTTTTTAGACAAATATGTGTAGAGGTGTTTCTACGCAGACCGTTTTGTAACTTTGGCGGTGATTTTGTATTATCTTCTGTATTATGGGAAGCATACTAGGTTCCATGGGCAGTATAGAATTGAGGTCTGGAGAAAAATACCGGATTTTCTGGATTTATTAGAATTAGACTTAAATATAAATAAAGGCCTAATTATAAGGAGTAAAATTAAGTCGAGACATTGGGAGGAAACAATATTATGTGTACATTTTAAAGAATAATGACACATCCGGGTTAGATGGCATAAGAGAACACTGCTGTAATTGTCTTATTGGTCCATCTACACTGGGATGCTGTGCTCATATAATGACCATAGTTTGGTATCTTGGATGGGCCAGACACGAATAGAATGTAGCTGCTCCTGCAGCATTCCGTGATGAGGTATTCATTAGAGTTGTAATAGAGAAAAGATAAATCAACATGTTGTTTTGCTACATCCTTTTGAAATTAGTATTTTCAGTACTACTTTATATAAGTTATAGTGTAAGATAGAAAAGTAGAGTTATTGAGAGCAATCTTAAAAATTCTAGTATTTTTTTTTGATGTTCATTGGTCAATAAAAATAATTTATCAGATATGGAGCAAGTTTGAAGTATTATGTGAAAGTATACACTTCTAGGACTACGATTAGGCTTTATCTGACGTGTGCTTTACATATTTCAAATGTAATACCTCTAACTCTAATTGCTACAGTTTAAATAATACGACATAACCTCAAAAACATATTACACAATTACTCGATACTCCCAGCTTTTAAAAATATATTTAATGTCTTTCTTTGTTTTAGTTGCATAGGCAAACAAAATAACATATGTTTCATCAAGTTACGTTTTATTCAATTTTATTAGTCCAAGCATGTTAGGCAGATGGCCATTGTTCTTTGTGAATTTAATGTCAATAAGACCTATAAATTCTTTCCAGTGATGTAAAGTAGATGCGCTATAGATCTGCGGCGGCTGATAAGATTTTAGTAGGAAATCGGCACTGTGTTCTGGGTAGCCAATAATAGTAGCTAATTCCAATGAGGAAGTATTAAAAAAAACATTAGTTCCCGAAATCAAACTAGATGACGCTACGGTACATTCTTGATTTCTCAATGACAACCTTTCCGGTATTCTTTCATGTTAAAGTAAAAGTAAATTAGTTTTCAAAACTCAATAAACAACTCATATTCTATTTGTACTTTTTCATATTTGTATTGATATCTAAGTTTCGAACTTTTCCGATTTCAGTCTTTTAATACTCGGTGGAACAGAACGACCGACACTCCCGAGGTTCCTGGAGAGTACTATTTGTCTTTAATATAATGTAAAAAAAATTATAAGTCTAGGTCAAATAGTTCCGGAGATGTTAAATTACAAAGTTTTTGCATAAAAATGAGTGTTTTCAACCCTGAGTCAGCTGTTTTTGGGACGGACTAAGGAAAAGTTCTTAATCGGTCATTGACTTCTTCATTTCTAAAAACAAAATAAACTAGTTTGTGATTTATAAGACTGCTTTCATGCAAATTCTAGCAGTCAATCAATAAACAAGGCAGTCAAAATGCTTAAATCGATTAACAGACTAACAGCCGGTTTATGATTTGAAAAAAGAAGAAAATTTCTACTGCTTATTCTCAATAACCTAAGTTTTTTTTAATTTCACAAGTCAAATAGTCTTAGTTTTATCAAACTGCTATCAACTGATCATCAAAAAACTAAAATCGGAAACGAAAACTAAGTGATCTTAGTTTGAGACGTTTAACTTTACATACTCAATTAAGAAACCGAGTGTAAAATTTCCTAAATTATTGTAAAGATATCACTCTAACATTAATCTACGTTATTTTAAAAGAGCAGTTCTCCATAAAAATTGTTTGAATGGGGTAATACTCCTTTAACAACGGGATCGTTAACTAAACTCGATAAACTCACAAATCTTCCAGCGATTCATCATTAACACAAATGAACTTTGTTTTAAAAACATTGAGGAATTTGTTATTAAAATAGCATTTAAAAAGAACTTTAAAAAATGAGTGATATCAAAAGACGAATAAAAAAATATGAACCGAGTTCGTCCCTCAATATCAAAGCCCCGCCCACCCGCCAGCCGCCAGGCGGTTTTGTTAGGCGCCTATTACACTACCCAATCTATCGGGCCCGATCCATCGGGTACACTGTAAATTGGGTAGTCTAATCGCAGTTAGAGAGTTAGGGTCCCGATATCGGGTGAACGTGGGCGCCTGATCGCCCGATGAGAGTTAGGGCCGATTTATCGGGTAATGTGATCGCTGTTAGGGTGTTAGAGCGCTCAGTCGGTTGTTGCGCAGCGTACGTGTAAGACGTCAGTGAACGACAACGAAATTTGCGAACAGACAAAAATGTCTTCTCAAAAGGAAAAGAAATAATATTAAGAGCGTGCTTAGCTGTCTTCAGAGAAGAATTGAACATTTTCAGCATCGACTATCATTAAGATATCGGTAAATAATTAAATTAAATTAATGTATTTCGCGGTCCGTTGTAATCTGCGCACCATCGATATTGCGCATGCGCGTTAAAGGGTTGTCAACACTTAGAAATTTAAAATTTTTACTCCATTTTTACACCTCCTCTATTTTTTAATATTTGTCAAATAAAATGAACGTTTGCATGTAACCTAACTTGAAACTTTCGGCTGTGTCGGTCATTTTGTTCCTCCCTGTATGTTAGTTAAAAGGAACGGAAATTACTGTCTTTAGTCCATTCGTTTCCTGCAAAAATCAACTTTTGCTAGAGTCGTCATCTAGTGGAGGTGCATTTTTTAGTGCTTTCGTTTTTTTTAAATACCTCCTCATTCCCAACTTCATTAGAGGTAACTATCAAGAACTACAAATCTCCACACCAATTTTTATCCACTCAAGTGACCGCGTTCATATAAAACCTACCCTTACTACTAGTTCTTTTTGAGTAGGTCCGTAAAAAAGTGGGTGAAAGTCGGATCATTGTAGGAGTACTTCACTTCAATGGGAAAATGGCCTAACTTATTTATACCCGGCGACCGAAACGTAAAATAATCTTGCAACTTTAGGATAGTTTCATATGAAAGAGCGTTGGTGTATTTGCTAAGCTAAATATGACTCTTAAATAAAGCTTGGATAACTTAATGGAGTATGGCGGCAACCACGGCAACCTTAAGATTTGAGGCGGCAAAGCATAAAGCAAAAAATGACAGCCACCAACAACATCCAAGCAACCGTTGAAGTTTGATTATTATCATTTGAAAGAGAAATGAGAAATGTCATTAGTCGTTTCAATCACTTGTACAGACAGGATTTTACATTTGTAGATACTTTGGTATTTCATGGTCCATATTATGGGCGACAGTTTTTGAGAATGTTTATGGCAGGGATGTAGATTGAGAAATTCTGGTTTGACCAAAGTTAACTATCCAAAATGGGTTGTGTGTGTTGTTCTCTCAGTTCGTTTGTTTCCATCGTATTACATGCTCTAGAAAGGTAAGCAATTAATATAATCTGATAGGCTCTAAATTGTGGTACAATAAAAGATTTCTGTAGCCCTAGAAAGTAGCAATTCAGGTTGGTCAATAATTGAAACACACGATTAAAGGCCGAGAGTGACAATGAAATAAGGAATTTTGAGATGAACCAAGGAGATATTATGCGGTATAAGTCCTGAGTAAGATTGCAATATGGTAGGAAGATCTTAACCAGGTTATACTCGATGTAGTGCAGACATACGAGATAAAAGAGTATTTTGCTTAAGCAAGGCTTGTTCTGGATACCTGTCTAGAGAAACTGATTAGGCTGAACCTATGAATCGTCTCCTTTACAGAATTTCACTATGTACAGTTTGTGCTATGTTGACATGTTGTCTGATGTTCACGATATTAACTATAACGATGTTGGGAATTGGAATTGGCTACCATTATTGTTTCGTCTCAAATTCTGTGGAAGCTATGGGTATGTATTTAGCAGCATTTAAAGAATCAGCTTCAGACCTGCGATTCTGTAGAAATCCAGACCCGATTTAGAATTCACTCATGTGTCCGTATTCACGTCATTGAGTGTAGAAATTATATTGATTCCATTTTTTGTAAAAAATACAGAACAAAATTGATTGAATATTCGTGTTTCAGATATTATATTCCTATGTCATTTCGAAACTAAATTTACTTATGACAGGAAACGTTATTATCAATTCAAGGTTTAGCGGATGCCGCTTTTTGAAGTGATGAATTCGGGTTTGGATTTTCACATAATTGCAGGGCTGGTATCAAAATACTTTGTGTTTTTAAACGACTTCAAAAAAAAGGAGGAGGTTCTCATTTCGACTGTATTTTTATCCGTTTGTTACCTCATAACTTTTAAGTGGGTGGATCGATTGTGTAATTCTTTTTTTATTTCAAAGCTAGAGCTAGCCGTATGGTCCCATTTCATTTGGTACAGATCTGGCAATGGCATCTATGAGAAAACCATATAAGTCCTAAATTTGCGTTAAGTATGCGTGATGTTTGTTACATCAAAACTTTTCACAAGGTGAACTTTTTTTTAATTTAAAAGCTGGTGCTTCTGGCGTACTCCCATTTGAAGCATAGTATTTCGGCTGTCCCAGTTCAAAACCTAGTAACTGTTTTGGACTAAGTAAATTTTACAGGAGAGCAAAAAAACTCTTGTTAGGGTAGCTCTTTTAAACTATTTAACACCTGTTGAGAAATTATTATTAACAAGAAGGAGTAGTTTGAAACTGTTAATTTGATATATAAATTATTTGTATAAGTTTCATTCTACAAATTTTATGAGTTAAAATATTTTTAACAATAAAACGTCTAAGTAAAAATTGACTTCCAAAACAATTTCAAACCTAGTAAGTTCTCTTACTAGATTTTGATCTGGTTTAACATATTAGCTAAAAGCATGTTATCCAGATCAAAAGCTAGTAAATTCAAATTTATACAGCCATTTACACATGTATTTGTGTTTCATTAGGCGGCATTCATTTGTTTTTTTATTTTTTTATTTGTCCTATTTAAGTCACCCAGTATTAAAAATTGAAATATCGTGTTATTTACGAGTACGAGTTCCACCATGGTACCAATGCTGCGGAAACGGCTCGAAGGGTTAATTATGTGTATGGCGGTTGTGTCGCAAAACGTGTCACAGTACATTTTTGGTTCCAACGTTTTCGTTCTGGAAATTTCGAGCCTCATGGACGACCGGAGACCCAAGTTTATAATGAAGAATTGAGGGGTATTGTGAAAGCGGATCCATCGAAAACCACGTCCGAGTTAGCTGCAGGCTGCGGTGTCAGTGATAAAACTGTTTTAATCCATTTGAAGCAAATTGGAAAGATTAAAAAGCTTGAAAGGTGGGTACCTCACGAATTGAGAGAAGCTAACCGGTAAACACGCTTCAACTGCTGCGTTACATGTTTAAACTGGCACAATAATGAAGGGTTTTTAAATCGAATCATTATCTGTGATGAAAAGTCGATTCTCTACGATAATCGAAAGCACTCATCGCATTTGTTGGACCTTGGCATGCCAGCCAAATCCTGCCCCAAACGAAAATTAACCCCAAAAATGTTACTTGTAAGCGTTCGGTGGACTAGTGCCGGTGTCGTTCATTAGACTTTTCTCAAATCTGGCCAGACGATTACGGCAGACGTGTATTGTCAGCAACCACCACCACCACCAGCCCTTTTACGTCCCCACTGCAGGGGCTCAGGCCTTCCTTATGGATGGTTAAGGAGGATGGGCCATGACCCTCCACGCTGGCCCAATGCGGATTGGAGGGTATTAACGACTGCAAATGCAGCCGGGACCAACGGCTTAACGTGCCTTCCGAAGCACGGAGTAGCTCGAGATAATAATTTTTTGGTCACCCATCCCGTGACCGACCCTTGCGAAAGTTGCTTAACGACTACGATCGCGGGCCGCGGCGCTTATCCACTACGCCACCGAGCTACTTAAAAAATATTCAACTTTTCCTTGATGCCATACCAAACACCAATTTCATATGTAATGACCTAATATATTGTAATGGGGGCAAAACATTATATTTAAAGTTATTAAACGGCAATTTGTGATTTTATCTACATAGACTCTTCGACACTGACTGTAAGTTGTGAACATCAACTCATAATGTTAATTAAGAGATTGCTTTTGCTCATAATAACTCGGTTCTATATTTCTCTCAGTGTAATTTATATATGCATATTTGTCCTGTTTTATTGAATAAATAAAATAAATTTAAGTCTTCTTTAGAATGAATTTTTAATTTCCGCTAATATAGCTCCCAATAATTATTGTAATTTGAAGTTATAGTGGTTTTAAGTTAAATACTCAAAGTGGGCATAAGTTAGACAACATAAGTTTGGGAACCCCTGATCTAGTCTATGGTTCCATTGCTAATTTAACTTTTTCTTGATGTTCTTTTTGTTTAGTCGAAATATCTTCTGGCACTTCAGTACCTTTATGTGTATATCTCTTAATTTCTACTTCATAAAATGAACAACCCGCGCACTTATTGTCTTTTGGCATATTAAATGAAATAATTGTTTGTCGATAAACTTCTACACTACAGTGAAAATCTTTCCCTTTACTACTACTATAAACCATTATAGTTAGCAAAACTTAGTGTTGTATATCGAGGGAGCAGGTGATACGTCAGTCAAACAAGCCAGTTAGTTGCACACTGATTTATTACAAAATAAAGAAGGGCGTGGCCCGTTCTGACTACCCACATACATACATAACACTTAGTAACTCAATATTTTATTGTCTTACGAAAACCACAAAATATTGTTTCTATACATTTATTCACTTCATAACCCAGTAACTATATTTGACCATTGCAAAAACCTAGTATGTGATAACACATACTTGAGTTTTGAAATAGTTAAAGATACATACTAGGTTTTATAATGGTTAAAACTTAACTTTTCATAAATTTAGAAGCACTTACTAGTTTAGGGTACCTTATAACTTTTGATAGAAGTAAATTTTGATATAGGGCATTTTGGCATCTTGTGGGGACTTATTGGAAAAGCACTTTTAACAAAAAAAGACAATTTCTACTTTTTGTAGACTTACTAGGTTTTGAAATGGGGCAGCCGATTTGTCAGACTTAGGCGAATGTTTAAGGTATATTAACAAACCAAAAAAATTAAGGTTCGTACTCTAACACGGTTTTCAGAAAAATGTTTTAGTGTTACCTATTATATAATATGAAATGAAATAAAAAACATAAAAGAAAAGTCGGGCGAAGGTTTTCTGTAGGTTATTAATTAATTTATAAGCGCCCGACTTCTATAGCATTTTCTTGAATAAGTCGATATTGAGGTATTATTTCTCACTTTTTTTAAGTTTGACGTCGGTTCTATTTTATTTTTTCTTGTAACTCGACGGACTATTTTTAAATATTTATAGCTGCTGCGGCGAAGGCAGCCGGAGCACTACGATCAGGTCCGGAAAAAGGGCACGTGATGCGTTCAATTGATAAGGCTGTGAAACGAGGAGTGGCGCATCGGCTCGCTCGACGTGACATCGACTCTCCAGCGGTCTCTAACAATAATACTCTTAACGAAATATTCAACTCACGAAACTTCACACACGATGCCAACACATATCTGTATCAAAATTCCACGCCTACAAACTTCACCAACTTGACTAGAAATTTTATATGATGAATCGTGAATGTCTTCAGTGAAATTAATTGAATGACCACAGGCGCATTGAAGCGCCTAATATTAGAGCAAGCAATTTATATTTGGGATAGAAATAAACAGTTACAAAAATATAATATTTTATTTTCATTATTTTAAATAATTTCAATCGAATCCCGTTTTGTGTAGCTTTGATTTTGATCATCACTAATAGAAGAAATTTCGAAATTTCTGTCGTGGAATGTGGGTTCCGTTCTGTTCAGGGGGCGCAAGAATTGTATGCTCGTAGAAGTAATATTTCTTGATCGGCGAAAGCGACCGATCAACCTTCGTGCTAATTCCCTTTCGTGAGGTAACAGTTCTGGCTCCCTTGGCGGTCTGAAACACATGGGTCAAAATCATTAATTTATCGACGGGAAGATGGTCAACTTCAATCTCAATCTCAACTTTAATACGATACTAGTGGAGATCAAAATCTAATGTGATATGCATAATAATAAAGATATTGAAAGTGTCCTAAACTGCAACTATTGAACAAAATTTCTCACAAGACAAAGTTGGTTGTAAATAATTTTCGAAAAGGCAAACCTTTCTGTTTCCAGCACTACGATAGGCGTCTCAGTTGTCTCCATGTAGATATTCTCACCAGGGTGTTTTGTTTTGTATACCTCTGGAAATGCATTTCAGCATATTTTAGAATTCTAATAATAAATATAGAAGTAAAATACAAGAACGAAAAGCATGACTATACTAATAAACTGGGCGCCAGAGCTAGGACTGTCATTAACGATCTCCATGACTCGTACGCCGGTTTCAAAGTGTCGCCTTCTCTGAGCTTCCGGTGTCAATTTAGAAAAGTTTTGGTAGCGATCGTTTATTGGCGATCGCAAAGTTCAATGTCAGCTGACAAACTCGATCGCTAGTAAATTAACGAATATTGCTAATATGATAGTTGCACTCGGTATGTGTCTAACAAGTAACAATATACCTCATTGTAGAGACTTGCAATAATCGTTAACTTACGATCAGTATGGACCGAACTGGACCGAATTCGGTAAGATTGCGATCGCAAACTCTGTCTGCAGTTTGCAGCCCCTCGGTAAATATTGTAGTTGTATCAGATACTCCGTAATACGAACTATTCATCTTAGAATTTGATCAATGTATGTGATGTTTAAATTTAATTTTTTTTCGTAATAATACAAGTAATTTAGCACTACCTTGAAATTGACTCTTTTTGTACTAGGAAGAGTCAGTTAGACATACTTATTCAGAGTCAGTTAGACATAGTTAGGTGTACCCTGAGGAGAGCCTCCGGGTACACCTGATAGACCTCGTGTAGTTTGTCTTGGTTGCCCCCCCCGGAGTCACAACCACTAAAATCAATTGCGATTTTTCCCCAAAGTAGATATCTACTTTGGGGAAAAATCTCGGAATCTGTGGTATAAGAGCTCGAAATTTCCCTATATAGATAGATATCTTTATCGGTCCTTAGTACGTGAAAAGTTGGCTCTATTTCTCCAGCCAATCCAATCCCGCCTAGACATCTTGTGGTACTGTCCGATCCATATCTCTGTTGTTGGAGGTGGCCTAATGGTTATGCGGTGAGCTTAAGTAATTAGAAAAGGCGTCAACTTCGTACCGACTAGTGGATGCGGCGGGTGGTCGATTTCTGATCTGTTGACTGCGAGCAACCTCACAACAGGCCGTGGCTCCGGTCCCGCACGTAACATCAACGTCGGCTCTGTGGTCGATCTTGAAGACACTAAAAACGATATTGGGTGTTAATTTATTGGTATAATTTTTGAATATTTAGAGAAAGTATGACTAAGTTTTGCAGGCACAGGCAGGGAAGTTTAACAGTTTGCTTGTTCTACCTGACTGCCGCTTTGAAAGCTTGTTAAAATTTATAATTACACCAATAGCTTAGTTCATGAGAAATATTCGTTCCAGTCAATTTTCTAAAGCATCACTTTTTTGTGACATTAGAAGCTTAGAGTTAGTTGGTGAACATTCTAATTTTGATAGCTTAAGTTTCTCGGCTTTGCGTTCAAATATGACCTGCCATTGATAAACTTTCTTCAAGAACTGCTACCTAACTAATAGCGAAAACTGCATCGAAATATGTTACGCGGTTTAGGTGTTAAGTCTAACAACCATGGAATGACAGTCTGACACAGACTTTAATTTACGTGCGCTATTCGTAGATAGTGACGATTCAGATTTTTATTGAATTCAGCCACTGGTTTTGTTTGATATTTAAGTTGCCAACAACTAAACTTTATTTGTATGAAACTTACTTGCAAAGGAAGCAAGCTCTTTTTGCGCGTAGTGATACCCCACGGAAATGCCATACACCATGAGCGTAAGAACTAGAAACATTAACAGCATTAGGACGAATGCACAACATGTCCAAGTTAACACTCTGAAATAAAAGCAAAAAAGTGAAGTTTACGAATAGGTATAACCTGTAAAATGCAACGTACATAACTACGTTTTAAACTTACCTTTCGACACAAAACGTTATAGAGCAGAATACTGATTGTATTAAGCCCATGACTCTTGAATTTTCTGCGAATTAAACTGTTTGTGAATGAATGTAGAAAACAAAACAGAATTATTTAACACTCGTATCTATAGTCGGGAGAAGATAGGTATAGTATTAATTTCATAATAATTTTATAAACACTTCTTACTTATTTCAAGTTCTTATTTATTTGGTTAATATATCTGTTTAAATTATGACATATCGTCAAACAATATAGACTATAGATACGACTATACGAGTGTAAGAGTAGATTACGAGAAGCGAGAGCCTAGAGTATTACCTTGCGGGTAACTATAACCTTCACAATATTATAGTCTATTAAGAGCCAACACCACCGTATATAATAACACTGCAAACGAGATATCCAATTAATTTTTATGAAATACCTATAATAGATTTATATTTAAAATAGTTCAATTCACTTTAAGCACTTTAAGCGCTACTTTCTTTTTGCGTTTTCCGGAAAATTCCAAATTATAGTTTCAAACTCACTTCATATTATGTATAATTAATAAAATTAATCAGATTTTGTATATCGCAACTGCTTTATCATAATTTACTTTATAAGTAATTAAAATAGGCAACCTAAAATATAATTTCAAAATCTTACACAAAGAATAATTCCATTTCTAAGTCGTTATGACAATCGTGTGACTTGTATCAAAGAGGAATTATAACGTCACCATTTATTCTAATCTGTATACCATATCAGTGACATCCTTAATAAAGTTTCTTGTGTGCCAGTTACGTATTGATTTGATGTACAGTGATCCTTTTTTATAAATAGGTGCGTGTCGGACTCGCGCAAGAGAGGGTTCTGTTACGTATGGCTTTTAAAAAAAACTTATTTTGTTTAACACTTCGTTTATTTTATATGAATAACACGATTTATTTTATATGACAGTGTAATAAACTGTTTTAGAACAATATGTTGTACGACGGGAGTCCAAGCCAAAACTGATTTTATTCAATATTATTATTGGGTTCAATACTCGGTTTCCTATTGCATGGCGATAATGCGATAGGAATCGTCTACGTTGCGTTTTTTATTCTAATAGGAACTAAAAGAAATTATATTATAACCGAAACGAGAAAAAAAAACGTTTGTTATGTGAAGGCGTTTCTCTAGAGGAAGTTTTCTTCGGTGATAACTCAAACTCGAATCCTCGATGTATAATATATTTATTTTTATTCACAAGTAACCCTGTTTACATGCACTAATCATATATCGCACTTAGCTATATAGATAGAACAGATGATAATGGATGGAGTAAGATAGTAAGCGCTCGACAGCGCATGCGGGGGAGGAAGCGAGCTTATAAATATAACCGACCGAACCGTATGTTCCGCGGGTCGCCAGTGCGGCGTACTTCCCCGCCGTGTGCCAAAGGCGTACCACTCCGTCTCCCATAACCGGCTTCACAACCGTATATGGGGCCCCCTTCCGAAACCCTCCCAGATTCTGTTTTTTAGTTTCCTGGTCACCAAAGGCATTCCGTGCTCGCCTTCCAAAAGCCGACTCCAGTAGCCTCGTAATCAGTCTAGTAGCCGTTATGGTACATAAATACTAGTATTTTAACTTGATTCGTGGAATCGACATACATGAAATTGCATCTACCCTAGCGGCTATAGCTCCGCCGCGCTTCGTCCACACAGGAACGCCTTCTGGTGCTGTGTGCTTTGAATACACTTGGTGGTTGATTTGAAGAGAACGCCTCTATGGTATCAATTAAGTTCGTCATTTATCTCTAGTTTTAAGCAATTAATAATAAATTAATTAATCATCTGTGAAGATTTCCACTGTCTTCATCTTTTTTGGCGGATAAGTGACTATGTTGGTTACATTCAAATAACATTATTACATTTACATTCATTAACATTATTAAATATTATTTATTATTCGTTATTCGTCCTTAAAGTACATGTCACAGTAATAAACTGAAACGAATTGGCGTTATAATATAACATGTCGTATAATTGGTATGTCTAAGATGTCGTATCCTAACGGTAGATGCAAGTATAGCTAGTGGAGCGGTCGCTCAGCTGGACTTCTAGAATTTGTCTAGGGTTACCAACTCAGTTGATAAAAAATGAAGGAGGATAGAAAGTAATGATAATGAAAAAGGTGTAGTTTTGTTTTATAACTTTTATAAAGAATAATATAGAATTCTTTACATGTGTAATCAAAATTCGTGCACACTAGTAATTCACATTTTACACGTGTTTCATTCCGCCGATTGTGACATTTTGACCTACTACTACTTTAACTACTTTAAGGCACTTCAAAGATAGAATGAGTTTATCCAGCATTGCTATTTTTTTTGCCAAATTATTATTTTCATTAAAAATAAATAACTCGTAACTTCACGAATTTGTCGCAATAACTAGCAATGATCATATAATTAATACTCATTTAGTCGTACAGTACCACACAGTATCACCTAGTAATATTTTCCATACCTATTAATTTGTTCGTCCTTCATATTCATCAATAACATGTCATGATACAAATAAGTCAAAAATTAGTCTAGTAGATTTTAGCTGCGTTCCTGAAATCAAGAGATTTTAGAATGACTTTTTTCCGAGACAGTAGACAAATCCGGCGGACTCCTTGACTGAACCCGGGTCCCCTCCCCAGAGGGCACCCCCCAAATCGGGTTTTACCAGGTAGGCGAGCCTCGCTAAAGCCTCTGTCTCTTATATAACGGGTGCGGGGTCGGAGTCCTGGTTTAAGGTTGTATTTACCCTATGTTAAAAAAGGTCTACCTGAACCCTTCCGTAGGCTAGAAGGATCCAGGATTCATCTCGGAGGCCGCAGGACATACCTTCCTATTTTAATGACAGATTTTTTTTTTACTTTTTCATAATTAATTCATTATTTTCAGAAAATAGAAACTTTCGAAATAAAAGGCGTACTATATTGAAACAATTTATTTAACGTTTTGTAAAGACAAATTATAAATAAAATACAACAGTCTCAAGAATAAGAAGCTCTCAAATCACACCACAACCGTAAAATTGACCTTTTACTGATTTAGTAAAAAGTTTTAATTCCTTGTCGTAAGGCGAGGCATACACCTAAAATAATATTATGCAATATTCATTTAGGTGTATGTTTAAGAGCACTATTAAAAATACTTACAAATAAACTCGCTACGCGGCCATAGAAAATTTAAAGAAGACAAATTATAAAGATTTATTCACTTATCACCAGAATCGGGAGATCTAGGCAAATGAGGATTCACAACATCAAATTAAAGGTTTTACTGCGTCTGTGCAAGTTTAATAATATTGTGCAAAATTATTGTGGGTGTATACCTCGCCTAATAAATTATCGTTATAGGACAATTTTCCTGTTATACGTTATTTTATTTTCTTAATTTACAGTTTACAATTATGGTAACAATGATTACATTAAATTACGCTAATTAGGTATATATTATTATTTAAGGTAACTGCCACCTAAGTAGACCAACTATTTATAAAAGCCGAATAGAGGCTGATAAAACTCTTCGAATGTTTATTTGTGGAGTGGAATTTTCAAATGAGTACTCACAATTTTTATGATTTTCTAGAGATTTAAGGATCAAGGATCTGGTAGATCAGTTAAAAGGGCGTAGACCATCTCAAAATTATCTTCAAAACTCATTATATCTCAAGATTATCGTGTTGCCTAATATGTTATCATTTTAAGATCTTGTTTTTTTCTCTTATGTATGTTAATATTGTCATTACAATATTTTGTCTATTAAAGAAAAAAAAAAGATCTTACAATGATAATATATCAGGCAACACGATTATTTTGTGACTTCATATATTTATGTTGTAATGACGTTTTTTATGAATGTCGTTACTTCCATTAGAGCTGGTGAGTTTTTTTTCGTTCTTATCAGCCAAAAGACGTCCTGAACGAGCGGTAGGGGAAAAAATGTTGGACGATTCAAAATTACTTTTAAGAAGTCTATTTGAATAAATATTATTTTGACTTTGACAGAAATTCAATTCGTACGCATTTAAGTTGCTTTGTAACACACGAATGTTCAAAAACAGTGGGTATTCTTAAGCGGCACTCTACCCTAAATGAACATTTAAAATTCTTGCTAGGCCCAGTCACGAATATCTGTGCTGTTACTAGCATGTTCTCGTGGGTACTTCGTAATAAAAAGTATATAAACAATATATAATGTAAACATTATTAAAATACAAGCTATTTGCTTTTCTCTTTTTTTTTCAAATTTGAATATTCATACAAAAACACGTATATTTTAGACGAGGTTTTGATTCCCAATGACAACAAGATTTATTATAAAAACAATATAAAACATAATTTGTATGATATTTATTACAAATTCGTAAATCACCAGTTATCCCAAAATTACATTTGAAAGCTAAGGAGTGACTTTTTTTTAAATATTTTAGCAGTTTAATACGGTTCCGCCATTTTTTTTCAAAGAGCTGCAAAACATAGAGCTTACATGAATATACTCACACAAATTTTGTAAAAAATTATATTATCGATGTATTTAAAAGAGAAATTCAATGATTAAACGTTATTTTAAAAAAGATAATGGTGTTTTATTGTACACACAACAGCACGTCAGGTTATCGAAATATGTCAAAATTTCGCAATCGGTTCTCAACTCTACATTGACAGTTTTAAGGTTTAAAATCGAGTGAATTTGACAGATTTGTATAACCCGACGTCCTGTTGATAGTATAACCAAACGACAGAATAGAATAATCGTAAGTCTTTCCATTTCGCTCACAAAACAATTACACTGTGGTCGTTTAATAAAATATAATGTGATAATTTTCGATTACGATAAATTGTGATTTGTGAAACCTTTCGAATATAATTCTAGAATTACACTCACATCAGATTTTAATACTAGAAACAAAGTATGAATAAAAAAAAATTAACTCAACCGACTGCTGGTTGAAGAGCAAGTGTGTATGCCTTTATTAATTGGACGGCTTCGATATTAGCTTATAATAACATAATTAATAATAATTCAATATTGCATATTTAGTCGAATTCGTCGAATAATATCTTTGAAAATAATATCTTTAATGTCAATATACATAGTACAATACAATGGCTTACAAATCGGATTTCCTATATTTTACCAATGTATGTAGTTACTTTAAAGTATCGATATATACCACACAAATAGGGGTAGCGCCTGTTACCCTTCGGCATGGGAGCCATTTAAATTTAATTTACCGAATTTTTGGCTTGTATTTTATTTACATTTAATGGTTCAAGTACGTATTTACGTATTTTACATACACGAAAGTAATTTAAAAGGTAATAAAATTTAATCCAAATCTGTTAAGATGTTATAGGTTTCAATCATTGGCCGCCTAACAGAAAATTGACAATGACAGAAGAGAAAACGTCACATTGAGACGCGTGGTCTATTTTTTTTTTAAACTTGGTACTAAAAATGGTCCTCGCTTTATAATAAGACTGTATATATTTGATTTTGTCTTAGCGATGAGCGGCGTAGTCTAGATAAAATTGCAACAATATTTAAGAAGTTATATCTTTTTAAAAGTATTTAATATTTGTAATTTTTAATAAATTCGCATATAAGGCACTTCAGTATACAAGTTAATAACAATTTATAAATCATGACATTGCTTCATATGAGAGAATAACTACAAATTATTGTGCAGCTGAAAGCGTAAAATTAGTTGATATAAGTAAAAATTATTATAAAAGTATGTATCTCTACATTTTTATAAAAGCATTAACAATATATAATTATTATTAAACAGCAATATCATATACAAACATCTCTCGTACTTTTAATTTCAATCAATTTCAACAATTTATCAATTATAAACTTTAAACCATATGGGACTAAACTTAGTACTTGGTTTAAACCATTGGTCGCCTATAGCGAATTGCTAATTACAGAAGAGAAAACAAACTTAGACGGGTTAACTTATTTTGGACGGATAATGGTTTAAACATGGTACTAAAGTTGGTCCTCATTTTATAATAGACGGAAAGAGTTAAAAATTACACATATTACACGAAAACATAGTATCCCACTATTGGTCAACTCTCTGTCTATTATAAATTTATTTTGATGCAGTCTAATAGAAATGAAATTGCTTTGTGCGTTAGGCAGTTATCTGATAGAATTTAAAATCATGTCCTCAGTTACTGAAGTTTACTGCAGTCTTAAATTCGTAATTTTATTAAGAATTAAGGAAATTACATTACTACCGATTTCTTCAAAGACTTTGAAACATATATCGAAGTTAAAATAAGTTACGAAGTCAAGGAAGTTGTGCGTTTATTTTATGATAGGATACCAGAAAGATATGAGATGAATAAAAATATATTACAAAAGAAAATAAATATACGTCACACATTAGGAATTCATATACTTAAATTGGCACTTAAGTTATTAGGTAATAGTTATTCTTAGGGCAGGCAAAAGTTAGTGGCGAACGACGCAAAGTATTATGTTAGCGTTGCAAGAAAACGATACGTATCGGTAACCACAAAACTCGGCAGTTGAAGTAATGTTTATCGTTATGTAGGCGCCAGACATATCATCAAAGTTCGAGCCCACATTTACAAAACATTTAATAATTTACATAAAATTTTGGGTCTACCAGACATGCTTTCAAATTTTCAAATAATTGGTGGTCAGATTTGTTGCAAATATGTCTGAGAGAATGGACAACGATTAAAACACGGATAAACTATTTCTTATTCGAAGCCATGCGTCGTTTACAAGATCCCATATTGATAGTTCTGTTTTAAAAAGCTTGAGAAATTCATACTATTATAACGTACTCCACTTCATTATTAACACCAAAATATAACACAACACTTAACTGCTCACGGTTTACTAAACATTGCAACAAGCCTGACAGGTAGGCCTCACAAAGTTTGGAGTTTCTTTACTTTGATGTACCCACAAAAACCGACTCATGATGGCAAGCTACAAATGCGTATTAAAACATTATACAAATTCTTAAATGCCCGTGCCACACTTGCACGGTTCGTGTAAGATACAGATATCTATGGATAACGATACATATCGTCTGCTTTCAGCGCTCACATAATATTTTGGGCCAATGTACGTTATTTCACATGCCTCAGGAAATATACTATAGTTACTAAATATGAGTAACATTCGATCTGATTGATATTTTGAATACAACTATTTATTAGATAGAAAAAAAAAATAGGCCGATAGTCCCTCCATTTAATAATGATTAAGTAAATATCTAAAGGAAATGTGTGCTCATATATGGTTTTATTAATAAATGAATGTTAATGAATCAATAAATTAGTTTTGAGCAGGTCTATGTATTTAAAGGTGTAAAAATATCATCGTTTGAGGGTCGACTAATACTATTTAATTTTTTACAGGAGGAACTTGAATCGCTACATTAAAATAAATCACAAATTCACATGATTACTTCTTGCCCAATTCCATCTACATCACTATTGTTGATATACAACCGTTTTTTTATATTGCTAGATGAAGCAATTTCCAAAAAACTGATTTCATCACATATGTATTTACAAAGAAATAGCGTGAAAACAACGAAGCTTCATTTTACTTATGGCTGGTTTACACGTAATTATGTAGATACGTATTAAGTAGATTCTTCTTTTAAATTCAATTAAGCTCATAAGCAGTTTCCAATATTTTTACTTAGATAAAGATAAATGATGAGATTGAAAAAACTTACTACTTATTCCTTATTTGTGTACATTATACGTATCTATTTTTTACTTATCTACTTAATCACGTGTAAGCCAGCCATTAGACTTTCGATAGTTATGCTATTTAAAATTAGTTTTATGAAAATATGCGTGTCACGAACCACTCCAGTGCTATATAATGTGAAATAATGCAATAATTTCTGTTCACTGAGCAGGCCATGATTTCCCGTGCCTCATAATATCCCAGACCGGTAGCTCCGCGAGCGCGACGTGCATCTCGTGCTGCAGCTGCCGCGCGACTGCGGGCGCCGCGTGCGCCCCCCCCGCGCCCCTCACCCACGCCCCCACCAACGACGAGACCGAGCTCAGGGGACCCAGACCAGTTATATGGATGTCCATAGAGCTAACACGAATTGTAATATTAATTACTATGCGAGTCAAAAATAGTATTTTGAAACAGTTATTTTTGTTCTAATTGCGCTTCAGCTTTAGGGTGTATGGTATGGTATGGTATGGTGGAATGTATGGATGAAAGGAATGAATATATTTATTTTTTATAAATATATATCGGATATAAATACTAATGTATACATATATAAATACTAATGAGTAGCTCGGTGGTGTAGTGGATAAGCGCCGCGGCCTGCGATCGTTGTTGTTAAGCAACTTTCACAAGGGTCGGTCACGGGATGGGTGACCAAAAAATTATTATCTCGAGCTACTCCGTGCGGAAGGCACGTTAAGCCGTTGATCCCGGCTGCATTTGCAGTCGTTAATACCCTCCAATACGCATTGGACTAGAGTGGAGGGTCATGGACCATCCTCCTTAACCATCCATAAGGAAGGCCTGAGCCCCTGCATTGGGGACGTAAAAGGGCTGATGATAATGATAAATACTAATTAATACATACGAGTCACGAAATACATTTTACATCCGTTACATGATTAATAGTTGTCAAAAGCCCAATACCATTAAAAATGATTACAATAGATATTGTAATTAAATGATTGCGCCTATCGATTTTAAAATTAATTTACGGAAAGTTACACCACACGAGAGTGACATAGGGTAAAAACATATAGTTCATGTTATACTCACTCCATATGCTGTACCCGTAAGTCGTCTAGTTGCGCGTACGGCTCCCAGTGTACAAGTCCTACTGTAATGGCGGCGTGTAAAGACGCGCGCGAGTATGTAGCTGCCACGCGGCCGCTACTCGATATACCTATCGCCTTTATTCTATACTCGTCGTAACCGATCTATAACAATAGTTATATTATGTATACAAAGGATTGACGTCACATTATGGCGAAAATTAATTCAAAATAATAAACGTTTGGTCTTATCTTGCATAATTTGCAATATACATTTTTTATATGGACATGCCTGTGTATACTTTCAGTTTGAAATATTTTAAATAAATTGTCAATAACCCTATTTCAAATGACGTAGTATTAAAAACTATTAAAATAGAAGGTCTTAAACATAATTACCGAAGCAGTATTTTTTAAAATCTTTTGATTTTTTTAATGTAATTCAAACATACGTTATGAGGGTCCAAAAATCCGAAAATCCTAGATAACTCTATATTACACCTATGTATTGATTGTAATCTGTCAGTTTACCTATGTAAATAATTAAATATTAAATTTACCTGAAAGTCTTTTATTCTTAGAGTAAAGTGGAAGCAGGTTTGCATGGGGTGAGGCTGTGTGACACTGACGTCACTCACTCGGTTGATGGTAGCCAAGTTCTTCACCCACCCTGGCTCAGTTTCGAATTTGCCTACAAAAGATGTCGACCCTATCTGGAACGAAATAAGAAATAATAAAATAAGTTAAAATTAGATAACTCACAACACTAAATAGTACATTTTCAAATTTGTCCATGGACGATATCGACCCTATTTACAAAGGAATAAGAGTTTGTTTTATTTGCGCTACCCATAGCCCATTACGCTAGTTGCTTGTTGTGTGTTATAATTTTCATTTTTTGGCAGTTGTGTTTGTGACGCGATTTTGTTAGTTTTTATACCTTTCAAGATTTCTTTGAATCTTTGCTGTCCACATCGGTATCATTACGGCCGAAATAGGTATTGATGCATTCCTGATAGTACTATACAATCAGTACACTGATATTTATAATGATCAGATGGATCCAACGGACAGATCAGAGACACCAAAACATTATCTATGTTTTGGTGTCTCTGATCTCTCCGTTGGATCTTGGTAAGGGGACCAAGCTGGAGGCGGGTAGCGCAGTTTTAGCGGCAATGCCTCTGCTATTTGACCTACTTCCTGCAGGGGGGGTTACTTAAGAAAATATATCCGTAGGTATATATTTCCTTAAGTAACAAAATGTAGTAATGATAGTACAAAAGTATGTATACCTTGTGCATAAAGGTGGCTTGGAGTGGAGGCAGGTCTAAAAGCTCTCGGCACGTCTGCAGCAAGCGTCCGTCGCATGTTTATCAATAACATGTCCACTACTTTATTGCCTCTAGCTGCTAACGAATCCACCATAGCGCTACAAACATAAATACAGAGATACGCAAATATTTACCAAGTTATGTCGAAAGTGTCTTTCAAACGAAGAAAGATGAAGTTTATTGACTGGCTTTATTAACAATTATAATTAATAATGTTGGATAAATGCCTTAATATGCTTTAACTTAGGTCCTAAATCGATTCATCGGTAAATTTTCTTACGTATAAGCTTCAAATAGACTAGGGTTGCAACACACAACTTCAGAAACGCTGGTGGCTTGTCTCAGTACGAGCTCGAGGTGTCTCTGTAGTTTCTCTCTTAGCAACGCGTAAAGTGGCAATGATATTGCAGCCGTCAGTGGGAGATCATCTGAAAAAATTACCTGTTTTAAATGCACACAAGGTTTATTTTAAATTAATATTCATATTGGGCTTTGGGTCCCAATGTTAGTCGCGTGTGCGAGATACACTAATACTCTAGCCATAGGATACATCTTAGCGATGTTATAGCGTTATTTCACCTAAACAGTCTTATTGGGTCATTGGACAAATCAATATCGCGTAAAATCAATCAGTGACTTGATCAGATTTACGTCAGATCAATGGATTCCATTGGATATTATTCAGATAATTTGATTTTTCATCAATCCCCAACTTTGTGTTATTTAAAAATCTATCGGAATGCCTTTCTAAGGTAGAGCGATTTATGGAAATACTTAACTTTTAAAGTCGCAATTCGCTTTTGGATCGAAAGATGAGTTGAATGAATTCTACTAATATTATAAAGGCGAAAGTTTGTAGGTTTGGATGTTTGTTACTTCTTCACGCACAAACTACTGAACGGATTTTGATTAAATTTGGTACAAAGGCAATTCTTAGTCTGGATTAACATATAGGTTACTTTTTATCCCGATAGTTTCCCTAGGGATAGAAGTACCTCCAAGGGCGCCTATTTTTGTAAACGCTGCTTAAACGGTAAGAGATATACGAATGCCTTCTAAAGAAAAGATGGAGAGCTTTAAATTATCTATAAAAAACGTCCGCGATGGCAAAGATATATATATATATATATATATATATATATATTTGTATATATATATATATATATATATATATATATATATATATGAAAATATATATATATATATTTTCATATATATATATATATATATATATATCTATGTGTTAAGGTTTTGCCACAATAGTAAAAAAGAAATACTTCGTATAAGCGTATTTAATTTTTTTGTCCCTCTTTAGACGATTATTTGAGTAGGTGATATTTAATCCTTAGCAAAATAAATATTGCTCATCTGCAAAAAAAATTAATGTACACAAAAATTGTCTTTGACACCAAATTAATTGGATGAATAGTTTAGATTTTAGTTTTTAGTTTATGTTTCGCGAAAAGAAATTAACTTATATTGTCGATTTTCTAAATACTATTTCGTGTGCATGTATCTATTACTATTTACCACCATTTTTTATGTATATGATAACACGTAAATTTATAAAGACTGGAGCAATGACATTATTGTTTTACTAATAAAAATAATGAAAGCTACGACGGTTAGGAGCGTTTAGTAAAATGGAAAAATCTATTCAAGGCGATATTGGCAGTCTACATATCCAAGATAATTATCAGGAGTAGTATAAGGCTGTAGTGCTGGAGAAGGATGAAAACTATTAGCTGCACGGAATTACAATCGATTGAATAAGTGCTGGTAATCATAAACGAAAAGAGACGGTTGCAAGGTCTGCCGTATACATTGGTTGACATTGGATTGCACTCAACTTCAATATGTATTGTTAGATCACATTGTTATTTAATATATCGGGTTGAACCCAATGCAATTGAACGTTGAGTGCATTTTGATTGAATTCAGTATCAATCAAATCGAAGCTAATTTCGTCACGCGGTAGAGCTGTTGAAAACCATAGAAAACAGACAAGGATTCTCCCTTGTATGTATGTATGGACAATTCATGCAACAAAACGACTTGTTCTAAGCCGGGTTGAAAGCAAAAATAAGCTAAAGACAAGTAAAATTTTGTTTGCGATACTATCGAGAATAGGGATGATGACTAATTTTTGTTTGTTTGTCCGTCAGGTAGAGTGTTAAAAAATATTAAACACGTTTTTTTTTATTTTTTCGTAATCATAAAATTACGGCGTTACATTGAGTTGAAATTTCGCATGACGTCACGTTAGAGTACGTTTCCTACTCAACTGTGACGTAGCGAGCCCCCACTCCTCAACTTTAATGCCTGTTATCTAAGCTATATCTTGCTAATTTGAAGTAAAAAAAAACGTATCTAATATTTTTCTATTATCTGACTGACGGACTAAATAGAATTGCATTTTTTTTACCCAGTCATCATCCCTATTATACGGAAACAACGGGAAGTTGCGATAGACGCGCTAAGCAAAATGTCAATTCACGCAACCTCAGAAACTCGGAAGATTACTTACAGCAGTATATTCTGGCCCAAAAAAATAATAGAAATAAACATGCGTGCATACGCAGCTCATGTTTATTTCTATTATTTTTTGGTATATTTTATTTCTATCATTATTTGGGCCTTTGGTATTCCATTGAAACATCATTGTCTAAAACCGGTCAAGTGAGAGTCGAACTTGCGCATGGAACCCCGTGAATACATTATCTGTGAGAATTTCAACTGTCTAACTATCAAGGCCCATGAGATACAGCCTGGTGACAGGCGGAGGGACGGAAAGCGGAGTCTTAATAATAAGGTCCTATTTTTTACCCTTTGGGTATGGAGCTCTCAAAGGAACTTCGAAAACGATTAAGTAAATAATACCGAGGATGCGGTATCCAATACTTCGGGCCGTTCACCATTTACTTTTGCCTGCCCTAAGAATAACTATTACCTAATAACTATAGTGCCACTTCTAGTATATGAATTCCTAACGTGTGACGTGTATTTAGTTTCTTTTGTAATATATTTTGATTCATCTCATCTCATTTATCTTCTGGTATCCTAACATAAAATAAACGCACAACTTCCTTCAGTTCGTAACTTATTTTAGCTTCGGTGTAAGTGTGTAATTCTTGGAAATCAGTAGTAACGTAATTCCTTTAATTCTTAATGAAATTAAGAATTTAAGACTGCAGTAAACTTCAGTAATTGAAGACATGGTTTTTAATTAAAATCTAATTAGATAACAAAGAAGTTTAAAAATAAACAATTTAAATTCTATCAGATAACTGCCTTACGTACAAAGCAATTTAAATTCTATTAGATTGCATCAAAATAAATTTCTTATAGACAGAGAGATGACCAATAGTGGGATGCTATGTTTTTGTATAATATGTTTAATGTTCAACTCTTTCCGTCTTATTATAAAATGAGGACCAACTTTAGTACCAGGCTTAAACCATTATCTGACCAAAATAAGTTAACCCGTCTCAATTTGAAGTTTTCTCTTCTATCATTGGTAATTCACTATAGGCGACCAATGGTTTAAACCTAGTACTAAGTTTAGTCCCAGTTTTGTAATAATTCATAAATAGTTGAAATTTATTGATATTTAAAGTACGACAGATGTTTGTAAGAAATATGATTTTTCTTAAAATAATATTGTTCAGTATATTGATAGCAACTCAAATTACATATTTTTATCTGATATTGCTGTTTAATAATAATTATACATATATTATTAATGCTTTTATGGAAATGTATGGTTTCGATATACATAGTTTTATAACTATTTTTACTTTACCTACTACCTGTAATGACACAATACAAATACATTTTTCTGAAACAACACTAATTTGATAATAGGATACAGATTGAACGTCAACATCCTGTATTTACTAGAGCAGTTGCTGAGCGCCGGCTGTGTACCGCTCGTGCGAATAATACATACGGCGAACCGGCGAACGCACTGCAGTGTACCTGGTACCCCGGTTTATCAACGAATTACCCACAGAATTAAGAAAAAATATTACATTAGCAAATATTAAAACAATACTTACTTTTTAAACAACCTAGCATGAAATAGAATTGAGAAATGGAGGCACACCGTGTTTGTGTTAAGTGTAAATTGTTGTAAACCTAATTAATTAGTACAGATATATAAACAGCATTGGCACAAACCTTCGTGGTTTATAAATGCTGTAAAAAACTTAAAAAGTGTAACTATGTTTAATATTGTAATGTAAATAAAAAAAAACTTATATCAACTTATTTAACGCTTTCAGCCTACAATAATCTGTAGTTATTCTCTCTTATTAAACAATGTCATGATTTATAATTGATATTAACTTGTATACTGAAGTGCCTTATATGCGAATTTATTAAAAATGACAAATAATAAATAATTTTAAAACTATATAACTTCTAAAATATTGTCTCAATTTTATCTAGACGACGCCTTTTTTGAAGTTAGTTAAAAATAAACGACTGTAAATATTAATACCACATAAACGAAGTAGCGGGCAGAAGCTAGTAAAAAATTAACAAAGATCAAGGTAACCTATCTGGAGATTTACCGCTTTCGTTGGACGTTTGTCAATAGCTTTCAAGTATTTTTCGCTTTGCTTAGACAATTTTAACTAACGTCAAATTAAGGATATCATTCGTTCAATAACTTTCAAAAAACCGTCACTGTCGCTTTGATGATTGAGCCTTGTCTTGAGGTGTTTTTGTTACAGCGTGCATAATGCACAATGGACTCCAAAACGACATTCGAATGTTTTGTTTGGCCCGTTATTTCAGTTCATGGTCATAAAATTGTAGTCAATATTATAAAAGACCGGCAAAGTGCGAATCGGAATCAAGGGTAAAGCGTTCCGTATCGGTAACGAGCAAAAACTCACATTTGTAGTAACTAGCGGTAACAGAAATACATCGTCTATGAAAATTTCAACTGTCTAGTTACAGTGGAGTCTTAGTATAATGGTCTCGTTTTTTAGCCTTTGTGTACGGTACCTTAAAATAAAGTAAACTTTAAATTATCGTAGCATAATGACATGTAACTGGGTTGTTCTGTAAGTGTATATAATTAATGTTCTTTACGATAAGTTGAGTGTCTTATAGACACGAAGTAATGAAAGTCTGTTGTTGAGTAAGAATTTTTTTTTTAATATTGATATTACAATTTCAGTTTTGAATTTCCGTATTCGTCTAGTTTGAAAAAAAAAAATCTTAATTAAGAATATTATTTTTGAAAAATATTGTGGCTTCCGTACCCGATAGGATCAAAATAGAGAACGAACTTTTTTATATCGTCTCCTGGTCTGAGTGTTGTGTTACTTTCGTTATTTTCACAACACAAGCACTTTGGCTCCTCAACTTGGAAACAGAACAACTGTTTTCCCGCAACTTAGCCCGCGTAAATTATAGCCAATGTCACCCTCGTGTGATACAGTTTCCCATAAATAGGCGACAGCATTTTCAAAATAAGTCCACTAGTTTCAGACCCTATTTGGTGCAAAAAACAATCAATTTTTTTTTTATAGATTGACATCATGATGTTCAGCTAAACATAAAAACACTTACCTATGTGTTTCGCTAGCTGTTCTGTTGTGGAAAAATCGTAACCTCCACCTCTTTGCGGCGAAGGCCACGAAAGCTGTAATAAAATTAATAAATCAATCTTCTATCTAACACTAACAGTCAGTTAGACATAAATCCATAAAGGTTTAATGACAATTTTAAGCTTTAATTACTCAATAAGTTTGTTTCCATAGGTAATTTAACATAACGTTAAATAGTTTAGTTGGTGTCATTATGGACCCTGTTGGGTACATGAATAATAGAAAGGAGGAGCAATAGTTTTAGTATTGTAGTTTATAAATATATAATTATAAATTTTCAATTTCACTAATGTTATAATTTAAACATTAATATATTATATTCTTAAATTTAGTATTATTACTAATTGTTGTTAATCATTCGTTGATGTCATTCTAAATATTTATTAACTACCTCTCTATAAAATATGTATCATATCATTTTTATTAAAATTTATGTTTTATATATTTATGTGTTTTTAATATTCTGATATATTATAATAGTTTTTACTTATAAGTTATAAGTAATTGATATAAATTATCGTAAAATTTTTTGCCATCTTTAATTTCTTTATATATATTGGGCAAGTTGTTAATAATTTTTATTGACATGATTAATGGGCTTAAGGAATGATGTTTATAAGGTTTTTATAAGGTGGTAGTATTAATTTATTTCTAGGTTTAAGAGGTTTAATTACATTATCATCTTGCTTGGTATAGAAATATGGGTATTTAATAAAAGTTGCATAGTTTCTGTATATATAAACAAGGTAGCATTGGGATTTTATCTTTTATAAAGTAAGACTTGCATGATTCTGTTTTATCTATATTAAATATTATTCTCACAAGTTTCTTTTGTTTTGTTAATAAGGTAGGAGCATCAGTGCCATATCCCCATAAGATTATGCCATAGCTGAGCCATGCATGTACGTATGGGGTCATCCATAAATTACGTCACACGATTTTCATGATTTTTTTGCCCCTCCCGCGTCCTAGTCACAGCTGGTCACATTTGTAAGACACCACCCTCCTAGTGTGATGTCACATATTTTGCAAAGTTTTCATAAAGTAATAGTTTGAAATTCGTGTTTTAACACTTAGATTATAATTTATTTTGAAATGTGACATCACCAAAATTTAGGACCCTTCCACCCCTTGTCACACAATGTCATACTTCGTCGACCCCCTCCCTCCCCCTTAACGTGTGACGTAATTTATGGATGGCCCCTATGCATAAGTTGTTATTGCCATATCTATATCGGTAGTTTTCTTTATTTCATGTAACATGTAATTAAAACTGTTCTAAATTTTTATCAGTAATGACACTTTAAACTAATGACAATTGTATTGATGTATGTGCAACTAAGTGTAAGTATGTTAATGTTTCTAATATCTATAAAGGAGTTTATAATATTCAATTACCTTGACAAGTACTTCATCATGAACAAACTCTATTCCAGGATTGATGAAAGAGAAAGCATCGTCTTCTAGGATGAGGCCAACGTTAACGTCTGCAGTCATGTTTGACAATGATATTCTATAGAATAATCAAGAAGCCATTGCAAGCATTATATACAAATAATAATGTTTAATTTAACAATTGGTATATTGGATGATTGGTTTGTAATAATAATATATAATAAATATGGAAACAGATAGATTTAAACTATTTCATTTACAGAATTAGAAGTTTAAAAAAATATTTTAAAGTAAATAAATTATGAATATTAAAAGAGAAATAATAATATGTAAGTATGTTATTATATCTATCAATTAATAGATATTAACTGAATATCAAAGGATTTTTTAAATGCCAGTTTTCCCAATAGGCCAGCTCTTGCATAATGTTTGTGTAAAAAGTGTAGCTCGGTGGGTAATGGATAAACGCCGCCGCCTGCGATCGTAGTCGTTAAGCAACTTTCGCAAGGGTCGGTCACGGGATGGGTGACCAAAAAATTAGTATCGCGAGCTACTCCGTGCTTCGGAAGGCACGTTAAGCCGTTGGTCCCGGCTGCATTTGCAGTCGTTAATACCCTCCAATCCGCATTGGGCCAGCGTGGAGGGTCATGGCCCATCCTCCTTAACCATCCATAAGGAAGGCCTGAGCCCCTGCAGTGGAGACGTAAAAGGGCTGGTGATGAAGAATGTTTTATGAATCTTTGATTATTATACTTGGAATTTAGTTATCTTGGAATAGGACTGTGAGATATCGATCTAGAGGAAGTCTTATGCTGGTCAGGTTATTAATAATTTTAATATTGTTTTCTTAATTGATCATAGAATAAACTTTAATACAGTAAATGAAATATTTAAATTTGGTTTGAAAATATGTGATATGTTATAATATAAAACAAAAGACGGAATTATGAATTCAGACTAAGAAAAAAAAAAATTACTTACAACACATGTCCTTCACACATTACAGGAATCAGATTATATAGATTTTCATTAAATGCACTGTACAGGCCTCTGACTTTGACTTCACCAAGGGAACATCTCAATGTCAATGCCATTGATTTCAAGTCTAAAGATAATGATTGCATATGGAAAGTGGGTGCTTTCACTAGTTCCAACCTTGTAAGATTTCTGAAATGGCAAGTAACTGAATAACAGTCAGTTGTACAAACATCTATTAGGGTTTAATGACCACTTTAAGCTCTAATGAATGTTCTAAATTAGATAATTTGTATTGGTAATGTGCCATTAAACTAATGACCATTTTAATGAATGTTTTGGCAACTGGCCATAGGTATAAAAAAATATTTTTAAAAGAATGTAAGTAACACTCAATTCCATCAAGGATCATAAAGGTTTATAAATGAGTACATTCTAATGTATGTTCTAAATTTGAAAATTTGCATTTTGATGTTTTTGCAACTGAGTGTTAGTTAGTACTATTAGAAATTGATAAGTACATAAGTCATAACGTATAATAAAAGATTTTGGGTTGTAGGATTTCATTAATTATATAAAAAAACTTGGATAATAACTTTTCTTCCAATTGCATAAGTAATATAATACCTGGCTGATATATGTCTTTATATTTAATTGACTGTTTTACTAGTTTGATGGTTTTTCAAATTAATACTTACACTTGTGTGTTTTTAGCAAAATAAGATGTATCTTCCAATGTGTCTGGTTTAGTTTGTTCACCATTTTTGGTTTGCTGCAGTGCAACGTTGGTAAAGCTCTATAAAAATATTGTTCCCTACGTGAATTATAATGATGCATTCAATATCTTATTGAATTGAAAAATTATCAATCAATTACTTACTCTTTTGATAACATCTTGTAAGTTAGGTTGAACTTTTGTTAGAAGATTGTCCAATTCCTTCTCAATATCTATTTTATCTTCCCCCGACATGTTGTAAAAGACATCCCACTCAATTAATAAAATAAAATAAATTTTTAACTATCTGTTTTTGTGAAAAGTCTGTAACATATTGCTCAAAATGTAAAGGTGTACCAATTAAACACCCAATTAAACTTTATTTTGATAACTTGACATTGACATAATATGACAACTTCCAACCAAACTGACATTGACACATCTATATTTTCTTAAGATATTTAGTCAAAGCAAAGACATCTATGCCCATACAGCTAGATCTTAATTTGTTGACTTTATTATCGTATATTGAATGTATTTAGAACATTGTGTGTATATCTTATTTTCGCTGTATAAATATTGAACAATTATCCGAAAAAGATATAAAGTTAAGGGTATAAGTACGGTGATAAGGTTATTGATTTCAGTATATTTTTTCTTTAAATAATATAACTAGTATAGTGAATAAAACATGATTGGAAAATTATTTTTTTAAAATATTACACGCATTTGATAAATCTTATATTGATTGATGTAATGACTGCCACAAATTCAAAAGTTGATAATTCATACTACCTTAATGCAATCGAATATGGTACGTAGATTTCAGCTATATTATAAATAAAGTGATTAATTGGGCATTATTGCTAATAATCGAGCATAATAATAATTTAATATTATTATTGAAAGTGGTTTGATATCCACGTCAATATTGGACAATGTCTAGTCATAATCAAATTGCACAGGAAGTATATGTTCAGAGTGCTCGTCACCTATTGGTAGGACAATTGAAACGTGGTTTTACGATGGTGCTATTTGTATTTCAATATTATATATAATCAGTTTAGCTTAAGAATAAACAACCCATTTGTATAATAACCTACAGATTATCTATAAAACGAATAATAAAGTGTTTCTTCCATAAAATAAATCTTATAATGATAACTAAAGCATAGAAACATGTACTTGTCTTTTTTTCCTTACGACCCGTGTCAATGTGTAAGAATGATATGTATAATATAAGTCGTATCTCAATTTATGAAGGTTGTCTGTTATTTCCTGAAAAAGTCGTGTTTAAATTATCTTTGTTATTCCCAGTTTGTTCTCTCCACGCCTCGTGTAATACCTATGTAAAATGTATTTTTATCTGATTGCCCGGACACTACCAAAGCATATTGATAAAGTCCAAGCAATGTATCAAATAAGTAATTTAAATTATGATAGGGATGATGTCTGGGCAAAAGAAAAAAAAAACTATTTAGTCCGGCAGTCAGATAACAGAAAAATATTAGATACGATATTTTTTTGCTTCAATTTCGCAAGAAATGGCTTATATAATAGATATTAAAGTTAAGGAATGGGGGCTCTCAACGTCACAACTATGTAAAAAATGCACATGTACACAAATGTGTAGTTTTGTGACATTTTAACTCAATGTATCTTCTTAATTTATTGATTACGCAAAAAATAATCCCCGACAGACAAATAAACAAAAAATGTAATCATCCCTTTTATCTAATTTTCCCTGAGAAGATTACGGTATTACAACTGTTTTAGAAAAGTATCTCAATTCAATCCTAATAAGACATTGATTTTTTTTTTGGTCAGTAAGTTACGCACGAATGAGGCAGTCTTTAAAAAATAAAAATTAGTTCTAGAAATCATACTAGATGTCACTCACGACGATTTGATATTGTCTATGATATTTATTAAAAAAAATTCTGACCTAATAAATTAAATTGATTGAATTGATAATCTTATAATATCTTACTTTCAAATTAATTTTAATTTATTTGAATCGTAAGTTTAAGTTATTTATTATGTTACGTGTAAAGGAACGATGTTTGGTTTATACGCCAACATTATTGATAAGCCAACTTATTGGTTGGTTGCTCCCTTTCACGAGAATTCAGGTTTGGAATGAAAAACAAAAAGCGGAGAATTCAGCTTGTATTTGTATGTGTCATTATGCATCCACACCTCGAATGGCATTAATATAAATATCAAAATCAATTCAGTCTAGGCTGTTACATAGTACTGGTGAAAGTCGAAAACTATGTCAATGGTTCGCAAACTACGGGGGGTGACCTTGTACTGAGAGAAACCAGCAAGAAGCTTAGCAAGGGCTGCATTTTATCTCTGTTTTATTTCACACTAAGAAGTCTTATTGGAATGTGAATTAATTAGATTATGAAGTCTTAACATAACAATATCAGAAATAACTAGACATATATTTTTCGATTACTGATTAATATGCCGGTTGCCAAGTATACGTACTCATTGACAAATCAATATACAATATTCATAATAAAAGAAAATGGACGAAATAAGTAGTCCAGTGCAGACTCACTCCTGGCAGCAACCGTTGACGAGCTTGACCCATGAGCCAGCCATCGCTTCGCTCAACTATATTTGAGAGAACGTAACAAATCGACGACGCACACGACACCACCGCAGAGATTTTTAAGATAGCGTGACTACTCTAGTTATAGTTTAGAAATAATATATTTCAATAAAACTTATTTCTAGAGTAGGCTGAGTAGGAAGTCAATCTTTTATTGACAATATTATTGTAAGAACCAAAAAAGCACATATCCACCGTACGAATTAACATAACACCTTGCTTAACGTCGGCCGGCGACATGCAAATTCAGTAGCGATAGTATAGTAGTACGTGTCTTTGTGATTTTGAAATTTAAAGTTATAACCTTGCTTTTCCTTTGGAACGGACGTTTCTTGTTGATTGCTGAATTTTTATTAAGATAATTTAATTATGACTATAATATTTCATAATTGATCTTAGTTTAAAAAAACTTTATTTCCAAATGACAACTTATTTGCACCTTGTAACTTGAACAAAAGTCACTCTATCCAGAAGTGTTATTTTGTATGAGTACCTGGTATATTTGATACATATCGGGTAAGTATATAGATAAGAAGGGATTTTTCATTATAATTATCGTTTTTATACTTTTGTTGCTGATAAACATCAATGATTATTTGATGTAGTTTTGTTGCCGTAAATTCAACTAACAACTAATAGCAACAAAACTAACTTACCTATTTGTTGTTGTTTTCAGAAATTTTGTTAAATATTATTATGAAAAAATGCCGAGACCTGCTATGGCATAAGTATGTTATTTATAAAAACAATTTCACGGTAATATTATTGTATACCGTAGCTAAATGCTACTTTTATTAACTTCACAGCATTAATTCCATCGATTTCCGTAACTATTAAAAAACGTACTCCATTTTCCTTTATACAAATAAAAAGAAAGTTATTCAAAGATTCGTTTGTATTACTCGAGTTGCGTTTGCCTAAGTCGAACTTATTATGAAGTATTAAAAAAATAAATAAAAAAAAACTAAGGACAAGGCTGCATGGTCTTCAGATCTTTGCCTAAAAAGGAAAAAAAAAATAGTTCACGAAATCTAACTAGATATCACACCGTACTTTCTTGATTTCTCCATGACAACCCCTTCCGGTTTTCTTTCATGTATAAAAGTAAATTAGTTTTCAAAACTCAATAAACCACTCATATTCTATTTGTACATTTTCGTATTTGTATTGATATGTAAGTTTCGAACTTTGCAAATTTCAGTTTTTTTATATGTTAGAAGGAACGGAAATTACTATCTTTGGTCCAGTCGTTTCCTGCTAAAATCAACTTTTGCTAGGGTCGCCATCTGGTGGAGGTGCTTTTTTAGTGCTTTCTTTTTTTCTTAAATACTTCCTCATTGAATTTCAACTCGACAGTAATCCAAATTATCAGAACCATAACAACACTGACAATTCTGTTCTCTTTGGTCTAACTAACGTCATAAATTGACATTCAAATCGTATAATTTGTGCTGCCACCAGTGACATAAAAGTTTGTAGTTTCTTTATTTTTTTTAAATACTTCCTCATTGGACGAAATGCTGGACGCCATGTTGCTCTAAAGTTGTGACGTCACTTGGTTTTGTAAATAAACTTGTTGCCAATAGTTTCTTATATTTCATGCATTTTTTATCTTAGTTGTAAGAAGATAGTATTTACATCAATATTTAAATATTCCGTTATATAGCAGAAAAAAAATCAAGATTTGTAATAAAAAACTTGCTGACGACAAGTGTTTATTATTGGTAAATTTGTGCGATTTCCTTTTACAAAATCTTGTTCCATGGTATTTTTTTTAATTAAAAAAAAAATCATATAAAAATAATCTCTTAACGTATTAATCCTGCTTGAAACTTATTTTTATTGTTCGTTTACGAACCGAATGACATCATATCATGGCGGCTACTGAATAGCGTAGTTAAAACATAGACTAAACTAAACTACACTTTAAAAAAACAATTTCTTTATTTTATGAACTGTGAAACTAACATTTTCAGACTAGTTATTGCTTATCTCAATTGTATATTTTTAGATTTTTTCTTTGGTTTTGACTGCATTTGCTAAGAGGTATTTACAGTCGTTGATAATCCACAATCCGCAGCGGGTCCGCGTGGTGAGTGGTGGCCCATGCAATGCATCCTATTAGAATCCATCTGCAGCAGTGGTTCATGACCGGTGGTTATGAAGAGTAGCTCGGTAGCTCGGTGGCGTAGTTGATAAGCGCCGCGGCCCGAGATCGTTGTCGTTAAGCAACTTTCACAAGGGTCGGTCACGGGATGGGTGACGAAAAAAATATTATCTCGAGCTACTCCGTGCTTCGGATGACACGTTAAGCCATTGGTCCCAGCTGCATTTGCAGTCGTGAATACTCTCCAATCCGCATTGGGCCAGCGTGGAGGGTCATGACCCATACTTCTTAACCATCCCAAAGGAAAGCCTGAGCCTCTGCAGTGGGGACGTAAAAGGGCTGATGATGATGATGCTGATGATGATGATGATGATGATGATGATGACGATGACGATGATGATGATGATGATGATGATGATGATGATGAATTCCAAATGGTCCGCGGAGCCTCATAAAATTATTTAAGGCCGCAAATTGTTCGTTTCCTATTTTCGTAATAAAAAAAAGTCTTTACGTACATTTATAAAAAGAAATAATACACGTAGCTACACCCTATATCATCCTTGAGCTAAATATATAATGCTAAATAATCATTTGCTTTGGTGTATCCATCTGTCATGAAATCTTAATTACAATTTGCTTTGAGCATAGCAAATAACTTTAAACTTTTAATCACATGAGTTATGAACATAATAATAATCGAACTTCACATTGACTCGAGGCAGTAGAAATTGGAAAACGTCTGCATTGACCTCGTTGGTAATTGAACCTTGAAGAATAGATAAAGAGAGCCAAGTATAGATACTTTTAACTGGTTTTGTACAAAGAAATAATATCCAAACAAGATGACATCATCTATTGACTATTTCATATTTCTAAGGGTGCTATTCTGTCTGTTACATAAAAAATGTTGGAAATAATCACAACATTACAAAAAAATAAGTTTTTGTTTATTTTTTTTATATTTATAAAATTTTTCATTTTTTTCCATTTCTCCACGTAATTATAATCTTTAAAGAGCAAACTGATAAACATACTTGTATTTTTAGAAAACCTTTATTACCTTTAGTAGTAGATTTTATTGAATTAAACCTCTATGCTAATTGCGCTGTCTTTCTCGACGAGTCCTAGTCCAAGGTTGTTTAGATAATGAGGAAGTATTTTAGAAAAAAAAAGAAAGCAAGTAATATATTTAAAATCTAATTTCAACATTATTATTATATTCGTTCCATTTTGCATTCACAATGCTATACTAAAAACATGCATAGTGAAAAATAAGAAATCCACTTTGAATCTCTGAGATGGTAAATTGATAATATTTTAAGAAAAAAAGAAAGTGCTAAAAAAGCACCTCTCTAGATGGCGAATCTAGCAAAAGTTGATTTTTGCAGGAAACGAATAGATCAAAGGTAGTCAGTATTTCCGTTCCTTTAAACGAACATACTAAAAATTTGAAATTTGTAAAGTTCAAGCCTTAGATATCAATATAAATACGAAAAAGTATAAATAAAATATGAGTTGTTTATTGGGTTTTGAAAATTAATTTACTTTTATATATAAAAGAAGAAGTAGAAGAAGGATTGTCATGGAGAAACCAAAAAAGTATCATAGCGACATCTAGTTCGATTTTGGGATCAATGTTTTTTAAATACTTTCTCATTGTCTGCGGTTCTGTTTTATTCTTACTACGTCTCGACCACAAATTGACGGCACAGAATTTACACTATGTCACAGTGGTAATTTTGCGTGACTGTTTTCCTTTGGCGCAATAACAACATACATTCTGCACTATGTACAGACATCAACAAGCTTATTACTGCTTGGTATTGTAGGCCGGGACGGTACGGAATTAACTATAGCTTCTTAATTTGGCATCAGAACAATAACTGTTTAGATTTTTTTAATCATCCTTTTGAATTTGAAGTAAAAATACTCACTTTCAATACTATGTTTAAAAAAAATCAGGTTGTAACCTTTAAATTGGCTTATTCATGAAATTAATAGTTTATATCTACATTTCAGTATGTGTCGCCATTCATAGCAATGAGGAAGTTTAAAAAAAACGAAAGCACTAAAAAAGCACCTCCACTAGATGGCGACTCTAGCAAAAGTTGATTTTTGCAGGAAATGAATGGACCAAAGACAGTAATTTCCGATCCTTTTAACTAACATATTTAAAAACTCAAATTTGAAAAGTTCGAAATTTAGATATCAATACAAATACAAAATAAATTTTGAGTTGTTTATTGAGTTATAAAAATTAATTTACTATTAAACATGAAAGAAAACCGGAAGTGTTGTCATGGAAAAATCAAGAACGTAGCAACATCTAGTTTGATTTCGGGAACTAATGTTTTTTTTAAATACTTCCTCATTCTGTTGCACTACTTTTGAACGAAATGTAGTTTTAAAACAAATTGTCTTTATGTAAATAAAAAATGTTATTGCATTATATACAACGTGTAACAGAAATAACGCATATCTTTATACACCTAGAAAATGCATTTATAATCATGAAACGAAAATTAGAATTTTACTTTTATGTACTCAAACATTGTTTATGTCCACACTGTGTGTCCATACACACTGTGGACATCTTACAAATCACCACAATGACTTCAAAATTACTTAGCCTGCAATAACAAATGAATGTATCTACAGGTCGGCTTGAGTGTCGGCTAGCATTGTCTTGCGATCACATGTCACACGGCGAGCACAGTATCACCATATTGTGACTGACCCTTAAGCATTTCGATGTATTTACTTTACGTTAGTATAATGAAGAATCATCGCATATGAAATTAAAAATTAGATAAATTTAAAAAATAAATTGCGATAAAATAATCATCCATTGCCACTGTCATGTTTGTCACATATCGACGATGGAAAACAAACACGTAGTAACCTGCAAAACCAAAATGGATATTTAAAGTAGAAAATCTTTATATTAAAATAAAAAAAAAACTTATTTCCTTATAAATTGACTAAGGAACACCTTATTTGTTACCATGGACATTTATAGGAATTATTTATCGAAAAAAATTAAAGCTTTTGTGGTCTGAAGAACAATTTTGGTTTTGCGAGTTACTATGTGTTTGCTGTCCAGCGTCCAGCGTTTATTTGTGTAATATTATTATTCTATTTCTTTATGTATTATTCTACTCTTTGGTTTATGAACTTGTACATCATAGCGTTTAAGAGCATTTTAAACTCAAAGCACATTAAATGAAATCTCATTTTTCTTTGTTTTTTACTATGTTGTATTTTATTACAAGCTAAGAATATAGTGCATTTTAAAAGGCCTTATTATATTAATTAAAATTTATATTTTGTTTGTGATGGCTGTACGTTGCTTGAATTATGGTCACCTGTACCCAGGTTACCATAATTTATTTGATTTCAATGAAATTTAGAAAGAAAATACCTATATTAGAAGTTGCTGCAATTGAATCAGTATATGATTTTTAACAAACTACTTTCACGAGGTGTTTGTTTATTAAATATGGAGTTAAGTTTATTTATTTTATATCATCTAGTCTAAAACTAAAGACAAAGTTTAGTGGAAGATACGATAGAATTGGCACCATTATTATTATTCAACAATGAAAACTGTAATCTTCTTTTGTACTTATGCTTATTGTACATTATTTTCTTATTGTTTATTTAATACATCGCAAGGAAAAATTTTAATGTTTCCATGTAAATGTACTTATTTATTTATTAAATATTTAAGTATATTTAGTTTAGTTTTTCGACAAGCAAAGTTTCTTTTAATTTCATGTGGTATTTATCTTTTGGTGATAGTTCAACTTCAACACTGTCTTCTTTATTGATGACATAATCTGCTTTCCCCCCTCCTTCGATTTCTGCATTTCCATCCGTGTCCAGGTCATCGTATTCATTATATCCGATAAACGACGGCTCTGAAAATAGTTATTTATAAGTATATATGGGCTTCTAAATGGATAATATTTTTCTGCAATTAGTGCCCGGTAACATTGCAAGAAATGACACTCAGTTAGTGCAGTGCTGAATTAAGTTAAGGCGGGGCCGGTAGCTCGGTGGCGTAGTGGATAAGCGCCGCGGCCCGCGATCGTTGTCGTTAAGCAACTTTCGCAAGGGTCGGTCACGGGATGGGTGACCAAAAAATTATTATCTCAAGCTACTCCGAGCTTCGAAAGGCAAGTTAAGCCGTTGGTCCCGGCTGTTTTTGCAGTCGTTAATACCTTCCAATCCGTATTGGGCCAACGTGGAGGGTTGTGGCCCATCCTTCTTAATCATCCATAAGGAAGGCCTGAACCGTAAAAGGGCTGATGATGATGATGATGAGGCCGGTAGCAATTTTACACACCCCCCACCCCCAAACAAAAGAAACTTGAGATTTGTTTGTTTGTAAACTAAACTCATATTTTAGTCATTATTTATGATTATTTTATGTCTTGCATTTTTTAACACTAACTTGAAAAAATCATTTATTGGACCACAGCGAGGAGCCGGTAGCATTTACTATTTTAGTTAGGTGTCTAAACCGGCTGTGAGGTGAGTTTGTGCAATACTGCGAATATTTACATAATAATTTCATCTCAATAGAATCTTAACAACTTACATTTTACCGTTGTGCTATCTACTTGTAGGTACGATATTATTTTATATCTGTTACCATTGATGTGTGAGGAAGACAGTTCACTAATAATATTGGCCTTTAGGTAAATGTAAGTCGTTGATTTTCTACTGAGATGAGATTGTTACATAAACATTAGCGAAAATTGAATGCAGCACGTGTTGTGCGGACGACTTTTGGGCGGTCACCTTATTTATACTAAGTAAAGTTTCTAACTTTGTTTTTAAGGGGTAACCTTCGGAAATACTGTCCGGATCATAAACATTTTTTAACCTATGGGATAATTTAGGCGAGCGAAGTCGCGGAGCAATAGCTAGGTGGTCAATAAAACAATGGCCGCCCACTGCAAGCGAAGAATAGAAATCGCCAAGATGTGGATGTCATCGACCAGTGTAACTGAGCCATATAATACTTAAGAAAAGCTTGACTAGTTTTTTTAAGTGTTCGTTGAAGTCTGAGGAAAATTGTTATTAAGAAAAATGAAAAGTGAGAGGAAAATTAGTAAAACCAACAATTGCTTTTTTACGCAGGAACAAAGATGATTGTGTAGTCACAAAGGGCGTTATCTAGTTGACGCTTACATTTTATTTATATTTAATAAAGGATAAATTCAAACAGTGTTTTTTGATATTTTTTTTTTCATTCAATAGGGTAAGCCCAGAAGGTGGCCACACGTTTATTGAAGTTAGATCAGTGGTTTTGTTTTTATATCAAAATAACTGGAATAATTATATCGGCGAAGTGTAGTATGTTGCAAGAAGTTAAGATATATTTATCTTTACAATATTAAAAATTTTTGCTTTGATGATATAATTCTCGTACATGTTTTTGTGCGATGTCAACACAGCAATAATTTTTAAATTTTAATTTACCATATGACTTTCTTAGCAGTTAATTTAAAACATAAATTACATATATGATTTCTCTATGATTATCCTTATGACTTTTTATGATAAAAATAAAAAACAGACTTTATGAAAGCTTCATTTTTTTTAAGTAAATACTTATTATTATTCATGAAATTTATATTAAAATCGTGCGGAGGTTTTATGTAGGTTATTAATATTAACCACTCAACTTCTATATACAAGAGTATAATTATTCATTGATTAGATGCTACTACGGAATAACGTCAAAACAAATTCAAATTAAAATGTTACATCTAATATTGGAAGAAGCGAATATTTTATAGTTTATTTATATGCATTGAAAAGGCTCTGTAACTACTGAACTGATAATAAAATTCCTTTCACTTACAGTACGGTTTATAAACGAGTCATACGTAACCTATAATTTACTCGGAAAGACGCGGGAAAAGAGCTAGTCTCGAATAATTTGCGCTAATATATTTTCATATGAACATATACCAGATATTTTCTTTACGGTACGATAAAATAATTAAAAATAGTCAATAACCTTATTACCAATCTCTGGTAAACTGTCCTACAGATATTGTTAGTTGTTTCTATTAATCCCTATTATTTTGGTTATTATTCTTTGGCTGCTCTTGTCAGGTAAAAGATGTCATGAATTATGTATTCAAGAATGGTAAAAAAATTAGGACGAATCAAATGCTTATTTGAATTAATAAAATATATGTTTTCATTGTTTATCTCAAATTGGATTTTATCTCGTTTTATATTCACTTAAGTGAATATAAAACGAGATAAATTAGGGTGTAAAAAGTATAAACGGCTATATATTATTATTGATGATGTCTACATTGCTTAATCCGACATAACCTCGAATAAATAAGACCGATGGTACCGATATATCAGAAGATATAAAAACCGGCAAGCGTGTATGAAAATTTAGAGTGATGAATGCGGACGAAGCGAAAGTATTTTTCATTTTGCGTTTCCGTCGTTTAAAACGAAATTTATTTTATCTATAGTATTTTTTATATTAAAAATATATAGCCAACCCAATAAAAAAACTTAAAAATTTGTTCGGAATTTAATTATTAAAAACGAAATTATTAAAAAAGTTACAAAACTTTTATTTTGTTTCGAAACTTATGAACACACGAGACATATAGGGGGGGTGTATGGCTCATTAAAAAATGAATATTTCAATAAATTATTACCTCTATATATAATCACTAAGAATGAAATAAAAAATAATGTTACAGAACCCTTGTATATACTTGTTTTTATTTTTAAATGGTTGAAAACGTCAAGCTGAAAGTTGTGTCGGAAATTTATTCTGTTCTAGTATAAAATATTCTATGATTTTGTTACGATGGCAATTATTGCTCGCCAATTAAAGCTTAGAAAAATTTATAATACTAATCTTAGGCGTAATTTTAATGTTATTATTTAGGCACATAAAATTAAAGAAATACAATTATACTTCCGTATAATATAATATACTCATTCAGTGCTATTAATAAACAAGGTTTAAATTCATATTATACAGAGAATAAGCAAACCCTCTACCTTCTAGGAGTAAATATTACTCTCGTAGAGCCTAGTACAAGGTTAACCTTTGTTAAGTCTCTGTTTAATAATATGACTTTTTACTAATACTAAGTTGAGTCTCAGCGTAAATTTACTTCAACGCTAAAACTTGTTTATTAATACCGAATAAGTTTATAGTTTTGCAGAATGACGTTTGATACATTGAAGGCTAAAGTTAATTATATTTTGTTGTAGTTTGTGTAGTAAAAAGTACCTACTATGTTCAAGTAAGTAGTGATTTTGATCAGGATCAGGTTTTGTATGGTGACAGTTATCTATACGTACGTCGTAAAAATGATTTTAGAATGGTATATTATTATAGGTATATAATAGTATAGTATACTGCGATGCGACGCCGCATCGTGAATATCTACGAACTAGCACGTCGCAATGAAACATTGCGGATTGACTTACGCCGCTAATTCCTGTGATGTTACGTCACGCATTGCAACTTTCGGCATTGTGAATTAGTATAGCGCTGATTTGCAATTTCATGCACTTATAAGCATTTAAGTTAATTACCACATTTAGTTAAAGTCCGTAGAAGCCTTATATTATGTAGTAAGGCATTTGACATGATAGAAATAATATGATTTTCCAAAATATGTTTGAAATTGCCGATCAATCTGTTAGTGGGACCCTCCACTGTTAACATCTCTTCTCTGTAAACAAAATAATCAATTAAAATATCAAAGTACTTATGTAATTTACTGAATTGAAGTAAGTCTATACTAATGTTATAAAGCTGAAGGATTTAGTTGGTTTATTAGGTGATTGGGCGCCGAAACGGCTGTTACAATTACAAAGTTCTTTCACATGCGGGAAACTACATCATACACAGGTGACGGAGGCAATAATTTACGTGGACCAAGACGTAAAGTAGCTAGTCAAAACTATACAATTTTATCAATTTCATTGCTGAGATTACTTAACTAGATATTAAATTCAGTATTTGTAGGGCAGTAATTCATAACCACGAAGTTATCACAGCTGTGACTATAACAATATTAAAAACTTACAATACCTTACTATATTAAAACACCTACGTAAGTTAGTATAGAATTAAATATTATATTAATGTATTAATTTTAGGCCGAGCCAGTTCCAAAACGAAGTAGAAATGTTTGTTTTTATTGAACACGATTCTTTTTGAATCCGATTTGACTGAAGATGCGTTGCGATTTGTTCGACGTCAGAAAGTTATAACAAACAAATATATAACAAGACATTCAACCTTGCCCTAGACGCATGAAGCGTCGCGTGAACGCGTCACGTAAACAGATCTTTCGTCAAGTATGTAACTTTAAAGAGTAGAAACGATCAAAATGCTTACTTCATTTGTTTTAAGGAATCAAATACGATGTCGACTGTCTCTGGATCCTTGATGAGAGATATGTACATTTGGGCAGTCAGTTCGTCAGCAGACAAGATTAGCAGACCATTCAGAGGCGGTGTGTCAGTGGGAAAGTAAGTGGTAAATTTGTATACAACCTGCAGTTAAAGAAAAATTTAAGTATAAGTACAAGTTTGGAGAGTTGATTACGTTAAAAATTGTCTTAACATATGATTTTTGAAGAGTTCCCAATAGAGACGCAGTTTTTCAATACTTTCATTCTTACGTTCAGTTTCGTCTTTTATAACTGATACGCCAACACTATCATTCAAATCTCTTCAGTTTTACTGGAATTTTAATTATTTTAATATAAATAAATATAATAAATATTGCATTGTTCGGTTATATAATGTATAATTTAATAGTGTTGATATCTTTGTTCACAATAAGCAGAAGTTCAAGGAAGAAATTGTAAATTTATTAATGAAGACAGAATGAATAGTTTTACAGATAGCACATGCAAGAATATTTATGAAATTTGGAATATAATGTGTATGTATATTTAAATAATTTATTTAGTGTCAATATCATGTATGACATGTTTTTATATTAGTATTTTTTATATTATTATTACATAGTATTTTTTATTATATTGTGTGGTAAAATGTGCTGTTACAGAAAATCAAAATTGAAAATTGATCTCCCCACTCAGCGATTGCTTTTTTCAACTTTGAATAATCAACGACACAACTACAATTGATATAATTTAAGGAAAACCTGTTATTGGCTTAGCTTTATGAAATATTCTTAGTGTAATTTAGTATTAGAATAAGCTGTTGGTTTTCTAATAAAAAAATAAATAAAAATAAATAGGGTTACTGGCACTTTTCACGTCATTCCAGGATTCCTGGCTATCAAAACATGTTTAAAAGAGCTGCATGCGGCTTTCGAGCTGTGTGTTGCTGACTTCCAGTGCTGTATTAAGCAAGAGCGGGGCCCGTAGCAAATCACCCCTCCGTCGAAATAGAAAAGTCATCCTTTGCTTTTCGAATAACACAACACAACTAATCTGTGACTTGAGTTTAATTCGTCAGTTTATGTCCATACTTAAAAATATGATAAGTTAAAAGCGTGGCATATTTTATTTCTTGCATTATTTAACACTGACTTGAAATATTTATTAATTGACTTTGAACCATAGGGAGGCTCCTAAATGCGCGGGGCCCGTAGCATTTGCTACTTTTGCTATGTGACTAATCCGGCCCTGCCGACTTCTGTGTTAGGACAAATAAAGATATCGAACATGTCGAGAGAAACCATCACGATTGTACAATAAGTAGGCTGGGTTGTTACCAGATTTTTGTTACCTTCAAGTTGCTGAAACCCACAACAGCATCAACAGTGCGAATTTTACCAACGTGAGTGCCAGTGGCTACTGAACGACGGTATATGGAGTCCAAACCTCGTAATCTGCCTTGTTTTAAAGCTATTTCCTGAAAATTAAAATGGTATATACAATAACGACACATAAATCGTAATTATTACACGATTTGTTAAAAATGTACTTAGTAATTTTTAATTAAAATTTATATTTAAATTTAGTTATATAATTATAATCAGTCAATTAATGCCCTGCTGCTTCTGCTGATAGAATCGAATTAGGAAACCTGGCAATAACCACCACGCGTGCTGGTGACAGTGCTGGTTGGTAGCTGCTAATGACTGCGGCTGGGAACAACTTAACGTACTTTCCAAAGAAGGGAAGAGTACAAGATAATAAAATTTTGTCACCCATCCTAGCACTAGCTACTGATAAATGTTGCTGAACCTCTGCATCTCAGACCGAAAGCTCCAACCATTGCCCTATAAAGTTCCCTGTTATTTAAATTGTACGAGGGTCAAACTGAAAGTTCTTAGAAAATCAAAAACTGATTACATTAGCCAGTTATTAGTTTTATTATATCTTTTCAAAATATTGTCCATTCACGTCAATACACCGCTGCATGCGATGGAACCACTGGGAAAAGCACTTTGCCCACTCGTCCTTAGGGGTCTCTTCAATGGTATCGCGATACGCAGCCACCGCTTCTTCAGCATTCATAAACCGCTTTCCTTTAAGTTTTTCTTTAATTTTTGGAAATAAATAAAAATCACAAGGCGCGAGGTCGGGGCTATACGGCGGGTGACCCAGTAATTCAACGTTTGATGTCGCCAAATAGTCGATCGTTCGCTTGGCGGTGTGCGACGAGGCGTTGTCGTGGTGAAGGAGGATCCTAATGCGAGGTCGTTTCTCTCGAACTTTTTCCAAGACAAGTGGCAAACAATTGGTAGTGTACCATTCTGCAGAAACTGTTTTTTGATCCTCTAACACAATTGTTGCAAAATGACCTATCCTTCCAAAGAACGAGGCCACCATTTTTTTTCCCGCACTTCGATCTCTCTTCACTTTAGTTGGCAACTCCTCGAAATGAAAACACCCACTGAGCAGATTGTCTTTTGGTTTTAGGATCATAACAGTAAATCCAGCTTTCGTCACCTGTTAGTATGTCGAACACAGCATTTGAGTCACCTCCGTTAAATCTTTCAATCATTTTACGACACCAATCCACACGATGGAGTTTTTGAGCCTCAGTCAAATTATGAGGTATCCACCGGGCGCAAAGCTTCCTGACCGCTAAATGTTCGTGGAGGATTTTGTGCACTTGACTCATACCGATGCCTAAGCTTGTCCGAATCTGTTGATAGGTCACTCTTTTGTCAGTCTCTATCATACGCCGCACAACACAGATGTTATCTTCAGTCGTCGCCGTAGAAGGCCGTCCTCACGTAAATCATCAGTGAGATAGTGCGACCACGTTTAAACTCATTAAACCAGTTGTAAACAGTCGCACGAGATGGGGCTTCATCGTGAAAGGCCAATCGTAGTCTATCATAACTTTCTTGTTGACTTAAATGACATCGAAAGTCATAAAAATCATTGCACAAAAATTTTCTCGTGTTAAATTCATGATGACGTGACACAGACAATTTTCAATTTGCCGCCAAATCGTAAAACAAATGACAAATGAATGAAATATATACTCAGTAATATTGGCAAAGAGTTATATTTTCAAATTTTAGAATTATTTTTTTATTATATTGTTTATAAGTGGCCAGTTCTAAGAACTTTCAGTTTGACCCTCGTAATAATTACATTATACATATTATGTAATTACATTACGATGGGTGATTAGAAATAAATATTTTTTTATATTTTATGTATCAAAAATACATATTTTTCTTCATGGACCTTCCCATTTCCTATTAGATATAGGTATTTAATTAAATCACTAGCTCTAACTTTTGTACCACCTTGAATGCGAAAGTAGCTCTGTTTGTTACGGTTTTACGCTTTAAAAACTAATGTCGCAGAGGGACCTGCCCTTTTCAGGGCGGGCCGAAATGGGGACAAACCGCGCGGTGTATGGCCTTCGGGCCGATATCGTGTATCGCCTTCCATGCGAGGGAGATTGCCGAGTTTTAGTTGGTAAACTCCTGCTTCTTGTCTAGCGCCTTCGGCCGCAGGAGGAGTCTCACATAATCTGCCGATCCCGCGCTGGGGGGAGCGGGTATGCGTAACGCATTTCTCAGTGTCAAAAAAAAGGTGAATACTATAATGTCATACTATTTGATAGAATATGACAACCGGAGAACGACATTGGATAATTTTTATTTTTTATCCTTAAAGTTATGTTATAAAGGATTATAAATGGGGTAGATTGTATAGATAATTAATCATTATTAATGTTTATCCTTACTTATTACTCGGGACCTTAAGCTCTGGGAAAAAAGACCGCTGGAAGTACTAATTCTACTTAGATGAACTCGTAAAAGCTAGTGTTCAATTATGATTAAACAAACCAATCCATTGTGGCCAACAATATTGAAGCTAGGCAGCATAACGACAGAAGCGTTTACTTCGTGTATCCTTTTTTTCAGAAAGTTAAGTGAGCTCTCTATATATTCATTAAATATAATCATCCTCTTCTTTTGATATACACTATTAATAAAAAAATAAACAATTAAGTATATATTTAAATATGCATTTAAAAACTGCGTGGGTATTTAAAGTAAGTATATATATTAGGAACTATGTATACACGTCTGCGCGTCAGATTATCAACATAGGTTACATTTCGTCTATTGGTTTTGAACTCTAGCAATAATGCATTAAGTTTTTAAATCAAGGAGATGTTTGTCAGTTTTTGTATAACTTGACGTGATGATGACTGTTTTATCTGCATTTAAAATATTAATGTAGAACAGAAAATGAATTTTAATGTTATATCCCATGACGACTTTTTGACAGGTATTAAAACATAAGATATTCTTAGTGAATATTGCTTAAAAAAATCATTTTGTCCCTGGTAAATGAAGCATTTTTTTTATTAAGAAAATTTCCTCTAATAGAGAATTGTGAATGTGAAATTGTTCAAATATAGAAACATAAGAATTAAATATTTAACGCACCGACACGCTGACACTTTCGGTTTGAAGAAAATAAGTTGATGATTGAAAAAGTCTTTGAGCCAATTGTCCAAATCAGCCTTCATTCTATCCATGAAGTTTTCTACAATTAAATAAAAGTAACTATATTATCATTTAAAAAATAAAACTAAAACTTCGAAAATTTAATTTCGATATTGGCATTATTTTATGAAGACTTGGGTGCATTTAAAATATTAAAAGACTTTGTGGCCTTAGTCTTATGTGTATCGCAAACTATCGCATCCTGTCTAATAATAATATGAAATTCAAAAATAAATAAGTTCTATTACATTACAACAGATGAAAAATTACGATTTCAAAATCACATCTTTCTTTTAAAGTGCTAAGAAAGTTTACCTATTTAAAACCAAATAATCAATTCTAAAGTAATTAGAAAAAGAAAAGAATATTGCTAATCAAAATAAAACTTACCGATGCTGCTGTGTGTCAACTCTATCGATTCATCACAATCAGTCGAGTTTTCATGGTTCCTGTACTAAAATAGTAATAAATAACTGAAATATGATTTAAAAAAAAAACACGTCATACCCATTAAAGTTAACAACACTTACCATCAATAAAGCTCTCTCGAAGCTTAGGGATGACACCATTAAAACAATGTAAGGGCTGTCATACAAATAGCGTAGTCTACCTTCCACTGAATATTTCACATTCTTTAAAAGTATCCTGGGTAAAGAAAAATATTGTTTTAAATAACCTGAGGTTGATTTCTTTAAATATGTTGTTGAAAAACATCTTGTGTAATCTCAATAATCTTTATTCATATTTTACGGGCACGAAGAGGAAGCCAAGGAACGTGCTACGTATAAAGTGCTGAATTATAAATAAGTATGTCATAATAATAACAACATAACACAATGAGAACAATAACATATCTCCGTCCACTTAATTGGTCACAAACGTACAAGTGGTCGTACGATTTCGTCGCATAACAAGTTTAAACATATAAATAAAAAAATACAGAAACTATTTATCTTACTACAGGTACGATTGTGCGAGTCGGTAATCAAAGCGTTATCGTTTCGTTTTGTAAATAGAAACCCAAATAATCCGATTGACTTTAGATCTTCAATAATTAAAAAAGTAGATACCGGATTTATTAGAAAACGGAAATGAAATTGCAGGTGAATTTCCATCTTATTATCTCTTAATTCTTGATGAACTATAAGCGGTTATCTATACTAATATTGTGAAAAGGAAAGATTTTACTGTTTGTTTGCGTGAAATATTTCTGTGACTACTAGACCAATTTTAAAAATTCTTCCAGCTACTGGTAGCTACATCATACACGGGTGACGTAGGTTAGAAATGACGCGGATGAAGTCTTAAGATAACAGCTAGTAAGACATAGATAAAGAAAGATAATCTAACTCAGCCATTCCGTAGGTAGGTACGTATAACAATTCGTTATGTTCTTGTGCCTCCACTGCCCGCTCATAATCACCAATCAGGTGCAGATCTCGAAGGTTTAGTTCAGCTTTTATCGTCATGTTGTCCAAGTTCGTCTTCAGTGACTGGATTATGAACCTCGTCATATTGCGGAGCTTCATGCGGTGAAAGAATCTAGTATAAAGATTTATTATTTAACTTTTCTTGTCTTTATGATGAAATTCACGTTTTCGCCCGATTAGTATCCTGTAACTCATGATTTTAGTTTTGTATTAATTATTGTATTCGTTTGTTACATATAGATGTCCAATTTCTTAGTTTAGTGAACATGAAACCAGAAGTCCTACTCTGTTTCTCCGAAAGCGAAAATTCGTCTATTCTCGAAACACTAAAGAGGACTCTAAAGGAACACACTTTCGAAAATTAATAATGAAACGGAGGTAGGATCCTGACACTGCTTCTGACGCACAGATAATATTGACGCATATGATTTAAAAAAATAAATATATAAGAACGATTCGAAATGTTTGTGATTTTCGTTCGTAGACAAACTTAGCCTCAAAAATAGGGTTATGCTTACATTAATTCGCGCAAAGCTGAAAAATGGCACGTTGGGAACACTTTTAAAAACAATTTGTCAAAAGCCTCCATCGATCAGACGTGTGCAAAAAAAAATAATACAGGTCGAATGTTGCGAAAAAAAAAATATTGTATTTTTTAGCTAAATGGCAAGTTTTATCTTAAAAATTGTTGAGACAATTTGTCTTTACACTTTTTTCCTAAGAAGCACCACATCAGAGATATAGCAAAATCAAACAAAGTCGGTTTTCGTTGTCTACTACGCAACGGAGTTTGATGCGGTTTTTGTTATAAATAGGTTTTTAGGTATAATACATGGTGTAATCGACAGCAAGCGCAATGGATTGTATAAAATTTTAATAATAAGGTAATTTAGTAAAGAAAAAGATTTACTTATGAACAACGTACAAAATCACAAGATACAAGACAAACCAAAATACATTGACAAAGACAAAAGGTTAAAAAAATATAAATTAAAAATGAGTATAAAAGCCTCCTTAAAGAGGTCCATAATAATATATCAAAACCTGGTAAGGCTGTCGGCAATACATAGGTATAAAGTGTTTTTGTATAATACAAGACCACGCGGGCGAAGCCGCTTGCAGAAAGCTAGTGTTTTGAATATAGCGAAGTTTGAATTAGACTAGTATTGTATATCTTTTTCTGCATTACTTCATTATTCCAAGTTTAAGCCGTCGTTGTAATCGTTAGCCAGTCACAGCTACATTGTTTGATACTCGAAACCTTGAAAAATGATATTCGTCCCACGTGAAAAATCGATAGGGCCTAGACAAATACATTTTATTCTTTCCTAGAACAGATTGAGATCATAATATTTTTGCGTCATCAGAACTACTAGAATCTTCGATTCATTCTCAAAGTAGGGACATGATGTTATTTAGGAGCGCAAACACTGTAATGGTGCCTCGTACCACACCGTTTATTTTGTGCTATGTATCCGCATCCAAACTTTTTGTTTTTGATCTTTAACGTCATTTATTTTTTATTACTCATAGTCTAGTTTTAAATCCAGAAATGAAAAAATTACACAAAATCTTTCATACCCTAATTTACCCCCTTAGGGGTGGTCTTAGTGAACACGAACGTCCTAGAAAGAACCCGCATGCAAAATTTAAGATTTCGATTTTCGTAAAATCCCGTTTTAGTTAGCACCTACTTCCTAAAAAGAACCCACATGCAAAATTTGAAACTCCCAGCACTTGTAATAACGAAATTTCATACAAACTTTCATCCTCTAATTTAGCCCTTACGAGGTGGAATTTTCAAAAATCTTCTCTTAGTGCTCCTCTACACTCCCTAAGGAATCTTCATTCCAAATTACAACTTCCTATGCTCAATAGTTTTGGCTATACGTTGTCTATCAGTCAGTCAGGCACTCAGTAACGCAAGCATTTTATAGATATAGATTTAATTTAATATAATTGACAATAAAAGGGACAATAGCAGCTATTTCTTAATACAGAAAAGGCAATAGACATTCCTCCATCGAGTAATTACTTTACCCCAAGCAGTGTCGTGGTAACTGGACAAAAATATTTCGTAATGAAGGACATTGATAAAGTATAAAGATATGAATCCAATCTTTATATTTTGTATAGAATACTAGCTTTTGCCCGCGTCTTATTCCGTGTGGTGTAGTGACTTTTGGACAGAATTACTTAAACGAATATTTATTCTATCGTATAAAATACCTGACATAAGGTTCCATGATAAAGTGATTTAACAATGATGGACTTCTATACAAACTTTAATTCCTTATTCCAATTTAGTTCCTTATTTATCACAATAATAAGCAACCTATGTCCTAGCTCAAGTCAACTCTGTTATTTCGTATGTATAATATTAGTATGGAATAATTAAAGGAGTCCCGTTGTCGCTCATTACAACATGTTTGTTAACTTCTATAAAAATCTCTTGGAACTCAGCGGGTTTAGTTGCACCTAGACGCCAACCACGGTTATTGGCGCTGCCGGCCGCGCGCACGGAGCGCGGTCGACATGCGCCCACTAAACGTGCAATACGTGTTATGGCAGTGGTCGGAATTAGATAGAGTTATTCATGTACTTACACTGATTTCATACAGCGAAAGAATAAAGTGGATATGCCTCAAATCCCGAGATTTATTTTAAAGAGCAGAAAAAATCCCGTGATTTTTAAAAAAAAAAGTTATTTACTTTTACACAATTTAAACTACTGCACGTACGACGTTGCCAAACTTACATCAATGAAAGAAAGAAATAAAAAAATCCCGGGAAGGTCCACATTAATATCAACATTTCGATGCAAGTACATAAATAACTCTACCTAATTCCGACCTCTGGTTATCGGGGACATACTTGCTCAGCACCATGAACTGGATATATTTGTCGATAATTTTAATTATTCATATAATCAATTTCGGAAATTCCTAAATGACAATTTTACTTAATCCTGATAAAATTATTTTTGTACTATTAAAATTGACATTTTTTTTTGTTAATATTGATTATTTGTACCTGTATAAATTTTATTTGTAGTTTGTAGATTGACAATGACATTTAATTTTTCATATTTTTGTATTGCTGACATTTAATTTTATTATTAGATTTTGATTGTAATTTGATTTGACCTACATTTTTTGACATTGTGAATAATATTTGATCATCATAATTTAAGTGTTATTCTGTCTTATTGTATGGTCTTTATTTAATTTTTTTATAGTCTAATCTTGCAAGCGTTTTGGATGGAAACATCTGTTAGCTTTTAAGACTCCTTTGTTATAAATAAATAAATATAATAAGAGATTACCAGACAGTTACAATAAAAATCACTGTTGCTTGGTCGGCTTGGTAACACATTGCTGTTAAAGTTAAAATTCAAAGTTTAAATATTGTGAATATATAATGAATATGTCGTAGCCAACCCCAGTTGGCCAGTCTGTGTTACCCATAAAGATCTGTCCAATTAGGCGACTGGCCCTATTGCGTCATTCATTTGCACAGCTAAACGTCGATCAGCTGAGTAACTATCACAACGTCCTTCTACAGCGCGGCTGTACAAAGCCCAGGGAACTGGTTAACTGATAAGATCACGATAAAATATGACCTATTACCTTAGGCTATATGACCTATTACCTTACCTTATGGTATTAAACTACTCAAATTCCAATTTTTATCGATATAGGTCCAAAAGCAAAGAACACCTCTACCTAATAAGACGAATGTCTCCTCCAAATATCAAGCTTTTCGACCAGTGGTTTAGGCTGTGCATTGTCTGTCAGTCAGTATGAAATCTCCTTTTATATACCTATGTATAGATAGATATGTGTAAATTGTACATTTTTCTGTGTCCTTTTTATTATCAAATATTGATATTTTTAAGAGAGGGAAGTTTATTCATAGAAGACGTTATGAAAATTATGGCAATATTTTTCATGAGTATCTTATCTCCCTATCGTTTTTTGGGAATATATACAAACACAGAGGTTCTGTGTGGCATATAAAGTCAATAGCACGTCAGACTAATTGTCAAATTGTCGCTCTTAAACCTTAATATATTGACGGTACGTTTCAAAATCCATTGCAATAATTTGACATAGTGACAATTTTTTTTTATGGATTTTTGCTAGAAATTTAACCTGATGTGCAGCCTTGTGTACATAAAAGCACAAAATGGTAACTATTTTATATTGAATTTTGTTGAGGCAAAATAAAATAACATTTTTAGTGCTCCGCTACGACAAATCATTCGACATCTACGTGTCCATGTGTGAGCTACGATTACATTGTACGAACTTCGATCAACAATACAACGCTACGAACTTGTAAACTTGAATTCATAAGGCGCTATTGAGGGTTGAATTACATCTGGTAGCATGTCATAGCCATTTTTCGTCTCCCTATCTTTTCTGTCGCTCAGCATCGCCATATAGGTAGAGCGAGAGAGATGCGGGTGTGCACGGTGAATACTCGAGGAGATAGGCAACACTTTCTGGGATGCGATCGATTTATTTCTAGCCATGTGATGCGACATCTTAGCGATGTTGATATTTCGTTTCATTTTACTATTTTTTTACGTCTATTTGCAGGTTTAACGACTAAGTTACTATTAAGTCCATAATGACCACCATTTATAATTCGTTCGTCGTTATTAAAGTACAATAAACTGTACTTTATATACTATACAAAACTATCAAACTTTCTAGCTGGCAGTTGGCATTGTGTACATATTTAAGAAGTTTTTATGACATGTTCTTTTTATATAATTTTTTACTTTTAGTTTTATTCTTTGATTTTGTGATCAGTAGCATACAATTATTGTTCTGCAACCGACTTACAAACTTGTAAACTTATTTACTCGTAGTTTTATAATATTATTTAATTCATTTTATTTAGCATTGAAATATAAAGTGCTCACTCTAGTAGTTATCGTTTTGGTTTAAATCTTAATTTATTGATGTTTGAGATCAAAATCTATTGTAGAAATCTGACATATTGTGGTAACCTGATGTGCATCAGTGTTGTGTCAAACTAGTAAATGAAACGTGATATCGCGATAACATCGTAAATATGTCGTATCCTGTGGCTAGAGACACGGCTAGAGAGTAGGCGGTCGCGTCCTGGAACGACAGAAAATATAGAGATCAACCTTTACGCGGAGGGGATAAACCATGTCTTATTTCCTACAAGAGCACGGGTATTTTGATAGTTCTAATGTAATCACATAAATGCGGAATCTTATTCTTATGCATCCGAAAGAAAAAATTTAAAAGATTTTTTTATTCGGTTTTCGTTTAGATTCTGACGTAATAAATATTATTTAGGGAGTCAGCTGATTTATGCATAATACACACAGCATGTGAGTGTGTGTACTATATTAAACTTATTCAATCTATATTAAACTTAATTAATCCGATTCTAAACTAAATTTAAGATATTTGTCAGTTTTATATAACCTCTTGTGTATCAACCTAATTAAAATTTATTCAAGAATTGTTAGGAATTATATATAGAGTAGAAAAATAATTAGATGACAATAAGTAAGAACCCTTGAAAGCAGACAGGTAAAAAGTTATTCCAAGGAATTTTGTAAAAGATGATCATTATTATTTGAAGTTTAGATCATTAGCTCGGTGGCGTAGTGGATAAGCGCCGCGGCCCATTATAGTTGTTGTTAAGCAACTTTCGCAAGGGTCAGTCACAGGATGGGTGATCAAAAATTATTATCTCGTGCTTCGGAGCCCCTGCACAGTGGACGTAAAAATGGCTCATGATTATAAAGATGAGATATCATTAATAATAATAAGCTCTTCGGACCCTTAGTCCGATACTGGACAGCAATCAAGTCTTAAGAGGGGCATAAATTGTTCGCCAGATTATATCACGTGTGGAGGAATTTCATAATACATTGAAGAACATATTATTCCGCCTATTAGACGTTAAAATGTTATAGATTCAGAACTATAGCGAGGCAAACATTTTTAAACAAACATTTTTAGATATACAAAGTAGTTTTGGCCATTTTACGATCATGACCTGGTTTTGAGGAAGATAATTTTGATTTAACATATCACAGTCATTAATAGTTTCACAATAACGTGAAATTTTAAAAATGAATTACGGAAGATTCATATATTTGTCTATGCATTAGTTAGAATTCCTTGAAGTTCCAAATGGCCAAAAACGGGGCAGTGGCCATAAACTGGGTCTGCTGTCTTATGTAGAAAAAAGATTATTAAATTAATTTAGAAATTCCTGTGAGTTTGTTATTCAAATCTAGATTGCATTACGGATTGTATTTGTATCGAGTTTGGTAGAAAAGCCGATGAAATATTATTTTATATTGATTAGAGTTATTCTTTATATCCTAAAATATACAGAACTCTTAACTGAAAAGAATTTGCAGACGAATACTAATATTTCAATCAATAATTTTCATCGGTTGTATACAATTACTGAGTGAATAGTATAGAATCTAAAGGTAAATAAAACACTTTAAATTTTATAAAAGTAAGTGCTGGATTTAAGGCAGCAGGTTAAGTTTTGGCTACTGTTCCCTTTTGGCCATTTGGCACTTCAAGATGTTCTTATTAATGCATAGGCAAATATTAATATATTTGCCCAGATATATATACTTTTTAATTTAAAACGTTAAACTTAATGTGAAGGGAAATTTCATGGTCTGTACTACGGGTTATATAATTATTAGAATCTCTATCAGGCATCGGTCCTTAATAAGATGGGTCATTGCATCTTTGTTTTTTACCTAAAACTGAAAACATACTGTAATTATTTTTGAAATTAGATTCATTATTATAATAGAATGATATACGTACAGTAAGGATTTGGGCATTCTTATAATGCTGTATCCGCCAAGATTGAGACCGGCTGGAATTTCTTCGTATACTGAACCTTTTCCCTCAAGCCTAGCGCGGGAGGAGAGCATTCGCTAGAAACAACAATTATAAGAAGTATCATTTATGTTACAGTTTATTACAGTTTCTTAGGATAGGGGCATTGGTATGACGTTTGGCGTTATGACGAAATATATACGTAGCTTTTACTTTGGTCACAGAATATAGACTTTCTTATGAAGAATCTTTGACGCTGATTGCAGGATAAACTATCTATACTATACGCCGAACAGAATGAATTCCGTACGTTGACCTTTGTGTTTATAAATACATATCGTTCACTTTACAAATGCTCTTTATTAGGCGACCGAGCTACATCAACAATGTGAAACGAATATTATCTGTAAAATAACGCAAAAAAACACGTTTGTTATATGAGACTCCTTAAATATTAATTTTAATTGTTTTTGTTCACTGCATAAATTAAAAGAGAAAAAGGAGACAAATAAATTGATAATTTTTAGAACCAACAATTATGAAATAAAACTTTCTAGGTTTTTTTTTTAATTAGAGAATAGTTAAACAGAAAAATTGCCGAACGGTGGTATATTGATTAAGTTGGTTACATTAATAGTGATACACATAAATTATATCTATTGCGTAAATTGTGCACTCGTTAAAAGTTAAAACGGTTCCATTCAAATAAGATTATTATCCACCAAGTTTAAGAGCAATAAATAAGTAAATCAAAATGCCAAAAAAAGAGTTGGCAAAAAAAATTTGAGTTTCGCGATGTCATCAATAAAGTTAAGAAAACATTTTTAATATTGTAATTTCATATTTGTTCCCAAAATTGAAAACAACGCGATAAATGCTTGAAAGCTATTAAAAATAACGAAAGTTGATTACTAACTACAATCTTTCGACAGATTTAATTAAGTTTTTTTTTATAATTCAAGCCATCATTCGTTTCAAAAGCGATTGCATTTGTTATATAATTCTATAAATTGTTATATTTTAAAGGGGATTGCGATATATGATGAAATCAGACAAATAGGGTATATATATGGGTCTACTTATCACCTCTCACGGTTTAAACCTTCCGTGGACTACTAAAAATATTTCAAAACCACGAACAGCGAGACAAGAACGACGATTGATTTTTATACAAAGAAGATATACAGATGAGTGTGCAGTCCCGTACTCCGCGTGTCTCATCAACGGTAATTGAGACTTTTACATAGATTTTAGTCAGAATGAAAAAACACTGATAAGACATTTGCCTAGAATCTACACACAATATAGGTCTATTAATGCCTGCATGGCTTATATACTTACTTCAATTGTTTCTTCATCAAACTTGGCTGTTTTATCAGCAGTTTTTTCGGAACATAACTCTGCTTCACTTTTATATGTACCTTTAAGTTAAAAGTTTACTTAAATTTGGTACTAAAATAGCTAAGTATATATTTACCAACACCGGATTAGCTCATAATCAAAAAAAGAAATTGATTAGGCCATCACGAGTTGAGGACCACCAGAAATAGCACCAAAAAGTGCTGTCACTTTGTAATCATCCACATTTTTGTAATCCAATATCTGTTTTTAACCTCTGACGCAAAAACTGTAGTGTTATAAATTTGACATGTCTCTCAGTTTGCTTATCTGTCTGTGGCACCGTAGATTCTGTAGAAATGAACCGATTTGAGTGTGGTTTTTCTTGGAAGTCTTGTTCATCACGGTGGATCTTCTGTTTTATGAAAATCGGATAAGTAGTTTAGGAGATGCATGCACTTTACCTGGACGAAGTAGCTACTTTTTTATTCAATAATTTATACTTACAATGTCCTAGCTTGTAAACAAATAGGCTGATATGATTAAAGTTTTATATCCTTAGTCTCTTTTATTAAATTATTTTGAGATACATTTTAAGAGAAGAAATTTAAAAGAATTAACTAAAAAACAAAAATAAATATTTGAAAAACTGCCGACAAATAATCTTTATAAAATATAGCGTTTTGTTCGTTCGAACATGGCTATACCCACATATTTACGTAAAACCATGGTTCTTTCTCCGAATTCTGAATACGCACTTTTTTTTTTTATCTGAAACGGGCCGTCATAACATATCATCTTAATGTTTAGGTGATTTCTGTTGGAAAGCGTAATTTGTTTTCTTTATAAGGAAAATTACTTATTCGATTTCTATAAATTTAAATGGGATCACCTAGACCCAAAAATGTTGAATAATTTTTTTTTTTAAATCGTTTAACAATTAACGAACATATCGGTGATCATACAAAAAAAACATACAATACCGCCCAATATATAACCTCCTCCTTTTCTATTTTGAAGTCGGCAAAAAAGGTAAATTTCACTGACTTATATATCAACGCACAGTCGAAAGTACTGTTCCTAGATACTTTAAATTTGATACAGGGTTTCTTTTCATAATGTAGGTAAGTAAGCACTAAGAAAAGATTTTTCGAAATTCAACCCCTAAGGGGGTGAAATAGGGGTGAAGGTAATATGGACATTTCTCATTTCCGGACTTAGAAGTATGAAAATAAGTATACAAGTTTTTGATTACAATAAAAAATTCTCTATGTGGGTGAAATGGACAAAATTGAAGGGGTTAATTAAAACCTTCTGATAACTAAACTACACGCGGACGAAGTCACACAAAAGATAGTTAGTAGTATAAAATTACGAAAAATTAATAGTCACGCGAAAAAAAGTGAGTGACTGTATATTTAATATACTTGTAGACAGAAAATTATCCTTGTAGACAGAATAGAATGCCTTAGTTTCAGTGTAATTTTCTAGAAGTTCATTAATAGAAAAAAGTGATACTTGGTTTTTGTAGCCTTAATTATCATACTTTCCAGTTCTTCCATGTCCTCGAAGTGTTTTTTCGCGTCCAGTGTTATCCAGCAGTCATCTGTAGTGCGTAACATCTTTTTGTCCTTTGTTTGTATTTTCCCTTTGCTCGTTGGACTTTGATAGATTCCATTGTTATCTACATAGTTCGATTGAGTTTTTGAGATTTTAAATTGACCAACCTAAATTGGTGCAAATAACAGTACGGCCGGTTCCGCAAGTCTGTCAAATTTCTCCATTTCATTTTAAACCTTATTATAATGAAAATATATAAATTTTATATAATTGTGGTATAAAGCATGACGTTCGCCACATTATGGGTGCGTAAGTACAGAGATAAATGAATTTATTAATAAGACAACATCGCATACACTCCCTAGGTTACAAATTAAGAAGCTTAAGTACTTGTATTATGGCACTTTGAAACAACGAAGGTACTACAACACCCAGCCTCGAAATACAGAAAAGATCATATTCTCTATTGACTCGACCAGGAATCGAACCTGGGACGTTAAAGATGGCGACACTTTTAAACCGGTGTACGTGTTACTTAGCGGGGAAAACGTCAATTTATTTATTATTTATTACAACTTCATGTAAATAAATACAAGATAAAAAAAAGATAAAAAATGTATACAGAAAAAAATATATAAACCAGAACTTATGTTTCCCTATGATTTACTATATTAACAAACTAAATCCATTTGGCACCCACAATGTTATACTGGAGAATATTCTTAATGAAAAATCCACTTCGTCCCTGGTTTTTTATAAAAGCATTTTTAACAAGTTTTTTTTTTAATTATAACAATTGGTCATATTTACACAGTCGTGTTTATTTTAATAGTCGTAAACAAAGTGTAGGTATATTAATAAAATCGGTCAGTAACCTTCAGGTACAGTAGATCTTACCATAAGTAGAAAAGTTTCTAGAAATCTTTTCTCTGTTTTATATCCGATATTGGCAGGTTAAAAGAAGAGAAAAAAAATAATACCGTAACGTGCACAATATTGAAATTTCTGGGCTCACTATTGTTTGTTTTCTGCATTCATATTAGGTTATTAGAAATATTAGTATAAAATACTTCTGTAAATATTAGAAGCTACCTACTCAAGCGGGTTTTTTAAAATTTTCATTATTATTCATTTTAAAATTGTATTGTACCGAATAACAAATAAAACAAATGCTAACATACCCAATTTATATTTCTTTACTGCCAACTTGCTATCGGCTATAAAACAAAACGTATAAAAACATAATATTGTTAAGAATAACTTATATAACATTTCTGCCAATATCAACAGGATACGGCATAGAATTCTGGAAAGATCTAATACTGATCTAAAACTGTTCAGTTACTTAATTCTTATCTGAGGAATTCTTCAATCAAATTTAATTCCTTTGATTTATTTCATTACTCTAACGTTGTATGGATATTGACTTTTATTACGAAATTCTTAATCAATTTGAGATTATTCTTTATTTCGTTTATTTATTTCTTTGTATGGTGATTTTCTAGGGATGGGGTATTGATATCTTTAGTAATATAATATGTATGTTTTGTGTAGTTTATTGTTGTTACTTAACAATGAAAATGTAGTTTTAGGTATTTCGAAAAAAATCTCTGATGACATTATAAATTACTTTCATGATGGTGAGTACATATTATTAATATTGTCTATCAAAAGTTTTACAAATGATTATACAATACTATCTGTTTTCTCACGACTTCATTTACTAAATTATAGCCCCTTAGATTAATTTTATACTATACTAATATTATAAAGATGAAGAGTTTGTTTTTTTTTTGAACGCGCTTATCTCAGGAACTACCGGTTCGAATTGAAAAATTATTTTTGTGTTGAATAGGCCATTTATCTTAGGCTTTAGGCTATATAACATCACGCTGCAACTATTAGGAGCGAAGAAATAATGGAAAACGCGGACGAAGTCGCTGGCGGCCACTGGCGGTAACATTATATAATATAACTATAGTTCGTTACCCGCGTATGATGTAGTTTCCCGTATCATACGCGTAAGATTATGTATGTATGATGATGATGTAGCATGCCGTAGGTGAATGAATTTTTGAAATCATTCCACTAGTTTCCGAATCTATTCAACGTAAGTAAAATGTTTATAAAATAAGTATACACAGTCAAAAGTCTTTAACTCAATCTGTGTACATAACAGGGATGACGACTGGGAAAAAAGTAATACTATTCAGGCCGTCAGTCAGATTAATAGAAAAATATAAGATACGTATTTTTTTGGTTCAATTAAAAAAAGAAACGGCTTAGATAATACGTATTAAAGTTGAGAAGTGGGGGCTCGCTACGTCACAGTTTTGTAGAAAATGTACTAAAGCGTGATGTCATGCGACATTTCAACTCAATATATCGCCGTTATTTATTGATTCCGCAAAAAATACATGTTTAATATTTCTCATATCACTCAATAATCTTCTTGACAGACAAACAAACAAAAATTAGTCACCATCCCTATTATAAGATATTTATTAATTTTATTTATTTACAGAAAATATTCGTTCTTTCAATGATAAATGGGAAGTCCATAGAGCGTCTGCCGAAAATGCGCTGGAATTGGTAAGATTATACAGTATATGATCACCGGCCCTTTTACGTCCCCATTGCAAAGGCCCAGGTCTTAATTATGGTCCAATGCGGATTGGAGGGTATTAACGACTGTAAATGCAGGTGTGACCAACGGCTTAACTCCGTGCTAGCCTTTCGAAGCATGGAGGAGCTCGATATAATAATTTTAGGGTCATCCCGTGACCGACTTTTGCGAAAATCGCTTAACACCACCGAGCTACACTAATATGGGCTATAATATTGTGACAAAGTTTTTAAATTAGATAGAACCAGTGGGCTTATTGTGTAATTTTAAAATCAATTGCAATCGATTTCGAAGTTTTAGCGATTGGTAAAGCAATTTATGGGATTATGTAACCTTTAAAGTCTCAATCGCTTTCGGATGATTAATCAAGGAACAATTAAAAATTTTGTAACTTAAAGTTAAACTTGAGTCTAACACTTTTATGATCATATAAATTGTGTATAATGAGATTATAGTCGGTAATTAAAATTTTACGGAAAAAATTTTTTTTTACTTTTTAGTTATAGCTGACTAGGTTCCTCAGTATGTTTATCTTATTTTACGTATCATTGTTGCAAGGTCGTTTGCCGGTTTATTTCGCGAATTATTTAAAGCATAAAAAACTTAAATAGTGCACATTATTGGATTTAGAGTTATGTCACATTATTTTTCTAATTACTCCCGGCTTTTATTTGATTTTATTTTGAAGCCCTTTTATTTGATACCCATATTGCAGAAGCGTATACATAATGACTATTCCGCCATATTGGATTAAGAATAAGAAGTATACTTATATGACATACGTAGTTTCGACATTCATTGGCGCATAACGCCATCTAGTATTATGTAGATGTACTGCGCCGCTGCACTCCGTAACACTTTTATCAGAGGTCGGAATTAGGTAGAGTTATTTATGTACTTGCATCGAAATGTTGATATTAATGTGGACATTCCCGGGATTTCTTTATTTCTTTCTTTCATCGATGTAAGTTTGGCAACGTCGTGCGTGCAGTATTTTAAATTGTGTAAAAGTAAATAACTTTTTATTTAAAAAATCACGGGATTTTTTCTGCTCTTTAAAATTTATCTCGGGGTTTGAGGCATATCCACTTTATTCTTTCGCTGTGTGAAATCAGTGTAAGTACATGAATAACTCTACCTAATTCCGACCACTGACTATTATTAAATGAAATACTAGTAAAGGTCAAATAAATAAAACCATTAATTAATGTATATTGTTTCAGGCTATCAAAGACACTTTTGGAAAAGCAGGACTAAACGTTTATATCAAAAGTGTTGATGACACTCACAAAGTGTCAGATGGATTTTTAATCTACGATAGTGTAGTATATGTGTGAGTGACAAAACTTATGAATTAAAAAAATAATTGATATTCACTCTGAAATGGGGCTCGAACCGAAGACCTTTTGCAATCCGGACGACTGCTCTAACCACTGAGATACCCAAGACTGATGAATTTTTCAAGCACTCGGTACTTTTTCGCTACAACAGAGTGTTTTCATCAATATTCAGGCAATCCACCCAAACAGCCGAAAGCACTTTCAATAGAGATGAAAATTTGTTCTAATGAGGGATGGCGCTAAGTGGCCTAGCCGTGTTCCGCCACGATGTTCGGTGACGCCGTTAGTGGAGATAGGTCGAAGCGGTTGTTCCTTTGCTCGATGCCGATTTCTGGCTTGTCTCTTGCAGGCGGCATCGGGTAGCTGGTCTTGGAGGGTAGCGGGATCCGAGGCACGGTGCTCCGCTGGCCGACCGCAGTTAGTAGGGGGCCCAACTAGTGAGCTAGCCACTCATGAAAGGCTGCCCCGCCAACTAGCGAAAAATCCCGGAGTGCGCCATCATGCCGGTTGGCGACCGGATGTAAGGGCCTGATGGACAACTCCGGGGGGGCTCGGAAATCCGTCAGACGCGTCGTACTTGTTGTACCCCGGATACTCCTTAGAGCAGAATTTCAAGCGGAAAGCTGGGGTATGCCTTTACATCCGCGGCGACATTTGCTATCGGCGTCTCCGTAATCTAGAGGATCCCAGATTCTCTGTCCTTTGGGGTCTTGTGGACACAGGTCAAGAGAAGATACTGTATGCCTGTGTCTACCGATCGCACACAGGAGACGTGGAGACAACCAGGTTTCACGAATATCTCGTCGAGGCGGCGGATGCTGCCCAAGTGACGTACCCGATGGCCCAATTTGTGTTTCTGGGGGATTTTAACGCCTGTCACGAGACGTGGCTATTCCCATACCGGAAAACAGACCATGCCGGGAAAGAGACGCGTAAGCTCGCTTTAGCGTTAGATCTCACCCAGCTTGTCCAATGTGCTACTCGGGTACCAGACGTCGAAGGGCATACACCCAATAGCTTGTATCCTTCTGCTGACAACCGATCCAGACCGATACTCAGTGTCGGTATCGGCTCCCTTGGGTAAGTCCGATCACTG